TCTAACTGCACTGCCTGCTACTGCACTGCACAGCAGCATCCAGCAAACAAACTTTCCAGCATTGGCATGTTTTGGGTTTATATTAAAAGGAATTTAGGTACACATAGTGCACATGTACTAAACAATTGAATAGCTGTTTATTTCAGTTTGTGGGAATTTGTGAACAATTATTTGCAGCTTAAAAGATAATGGAACTTATGATAAGTGGAAAGCTCACTCACTAACGCAAGGGGGCTAGTTATGTTTTAAAGATAAGGCTGGTTACCTGAGTGCATTGCTGCCTCTTAGAAAATATTGTGGCACAGTGGACATGGGTGCAATTCCTGGGGTGCTGTTGAGTTTGTATGTAGGCTCCGGCTCCCCTGCAACCTGGATTTGGATAAAGTGTTTAGAGAATGGATGGATGGATTTGAGTTGAAATCTTGTTGTTCTGACTCAACTCCATTGTGAAGCATAAACATAAGCATTTCACAGTCAGCGGAGAGTCCTTTGTAATTTGTATGTCTTGAAGTCCTTGAACTCTTATAGTTATCAGTCAAGGGAAGGGAAAGGTATTCTTTCTTAAATAAATATGTAATCTAAAAATTGCCTACTATCAGGGTTTGTCCTTTATACTTCCTAGAAACAGTGTCCTTCTCCCTGCAGTGAGGGAGTTCTTGTGCTGTGCTTTTTCTAAATCCATTTTGATGTTGTTGTCAACACAGCAGCATGTCATGTGATCCTGTGAATATGTTAGAGCCACCTAAACATGAACACTGTCAGATGAGACTAGCTTTTGCAGAGGTGTTTGTATGGTTCCAAACACAGTGCAGTATTACGTTATTTCATCCCACACACATTCATATTTTGCCAGGAACCAGAATCATTTGGGGATTGTGTTGTTTTCAAGGATCTTGTTTGTTTTCAAAACAGGAAATAGTAAAAGGTCTAGATAACCTCAAAAAGTTGTCTTGCACATTGCTGTAGCTCCAGAAGGCTGTAGCTTGTGGAAGTGTTCATTTAACTTTTAAATTGTCAGCCTTCTGCTTGTTCTGATATTACTTTATGAGCCTGGCCCTCTGGGGTCTGTCAGCAGTTCATTGACTTTGTTCTGGCATGTGCAAATGTTTCTTTAGCACCAATCAACATTATTGCCATTCTTGAGAAGCAGATAGGAAATCTGTGAATTCTTTGCCCTTCTCCATTCTCCCTTACCTCCCCCTCCCTCTCTTTTCTCTCCCCTTCTCTGTCTCTTCACCCTTGATGCAGTTGTTTGGTTAGATTGTCAGAGCCTTTGGAGTTCCAGCCCTGGCAGCCTGTTCAATAACTCAGGAAAGCTGTGGAAACTGGACTGATTGATAGATCAGACCTCATGACTCATTAATGAATAGAACGTCCTAACAAGGGAATGCGCAGGGGATTTCATGGCATTATTCAGAGATGAACCATTCCTTTCAAAACGCACTCTCATTCTTCAGATCTCTTTTGTTTTTAGAAAATCAATCCTGTTGCATGGAGATTTGAGCATTTGAGGGGGAAGAGGGTCAAATTCTGTTGATGCGACTCATGTGCAGCTCTGCACGCTGAAGCTATCACCAGTGATTTTTATTCATTTCCCCGCCCTATAAACCAAAGTGCTTTGTTAAGAGTCCTTGGCAGAGCTTTAAAATATGTTCCTTAATAGACTTGTATAGCTCCATCAAGATGAAGCTTGCTTGCTCACTTGCTCAGTTTTCTAAAAAAAAAAAGTTTAGGTTTTTAAGATCGTCATTATGGTTTTTTCTTATTTTTTTATGTTCTGTGTGAAAACCTGTGAGTTGCGACTCGCACGTGGTTTACATTTTCAATTTGGGTGTTTTCAGTGAGAGGCAGGTTACAAAATGTGAATTTCAGAAGCCTCACTGTTCTTTGCATGGTGCATGATAGAAGCAAAGGCGTCGATCCTTTAGAATAAGGAAATCCAGAGGACACAAATGGAAACTTAACACAGGGGTTTGTAGGAGTCTGGACCCCTCGACCCAGCTATATTGTAGAAGCTGATTTCCTGCCTTCTTTCAGAAAACAGCTGGATCCTCAAGTAAGTTAGCTGCTGACCAGTCGACGGGCTGCATGGCCTCTCGTTTGTGTCCTTGCCTACACATGCAGTGGTCAGCTGTGGCCCCAGGTATTCAGACTGGATAGTTGACAAAGTGGAAGTCCTTGAGATCGGGGATGGGGAGGGGATTTTTAACATGTTAAGGCTGGTACGAGATTTAGCCAGTTTCTTCTGGAGCAGGAGGGAGTTGTGGTTGAGGATGGCTGAAGCTGTACCAGGCGGCCAGTGAGGAGAGAGTATGGCGGACCAAATCAGCAGGGGCTGAAACAGCTGGGAGGCGTCAGCGGTCCTTGCTGTTCTCAGGAGCTCCATAGGGTGCTCGGTCAAGTACTGCTCGGCGGAGGATGGCATGAATGATCCGAGCAAGGCACCAGTTTTGACTAGTAGTAGTAGCCTTCTCTGTGAAAGACAAGTCATCCTAGGCCTTGTTCATTGCAATGCTGCAATTGTATTCTGCAGCATATGTTAGTGACAGATTTATTTGGTTTTGTTCCCTTGCATTATATGTGAAAAATAATATGAGCTGAATACAGAATCCATAATATAAGATGGCTCAGTATGGGAAAAGTCAGGGTTCCCTCAGAAATGGGGCTTTTTGAGCCATTCAAGTGTTTCAAAAACTCCTTACAGCTCGTAAATTATATAGAAAAACCTACAGAGCTACACTTGCAAAGGCAGAGAACTGTTTTGCTATGCTGTAGAAACTCCCCGGGAAAATCCATATAAGGCAACTTTCACAAGCTTTTCATTTTTTTGTTTGATCACAGCATAATTTTGTTTAATTGCTTTCCTATTTCTGAGTTCTCTTTTTCTGCTGTTAATGCACTTCTGGACTTGGAGCTTGTTAGTTTGCGATGGTTTTGCTGTTTAACTTCTAAACATATCCTAATAAATGAGACATCACATTGCAGTGCTGGTGTGGTGAGCCGGTGCTTTGCAGCTCTTTCGTAAGCTGTCGAGGTTGGAGAATGATGTGTTTACGCATTTTCATTTCCTGTTGGGCAGGCACTCTCGCAGAGCAGCTGTATGTACATGCTGTTGGGTAACTGGCACGGCTTTTCCAGGCATCCTCTTACTTTTCAAGGCCTTCCAGATTCTCTGTCGAGCTCACCGCTGAAAGAAAAACTTAGCAGCAGAATCTAAATGGGGCTTAGCAAGGCGGGGAGCAAACCCGACAAACCACGCCGATCGACTGAGTGCTGTAGCTGCGCGCTTACCTGCCACTTCCTTTACCGGACTGTCGGAGCCTGTGTACAGCTATCACAGCTCGTCACGTGCTTTTCAAAGCTTAACCAGCTTCACAGCAGCTGATCGTGAGTACTTCAGCAGATGTTATTGAGCCGCAGAGAGAAACTATCTGCATCTGGACGCATCAAAATGTGTACCTATTGAACTGTTAAGGTGCCAGGTTTTGCTTTTTGTAGGGCCACAAATGCTTGTTATTGAAATGCCTTTATATCCAGCATTGGGAAAAATGTTTCAGGCACTTCCGAAATAATTGCTTGTTAGTGTCAATACCCTACAATTGCAGTTGCTTTTTGTTTATGCATGTTTTCCATTTATCACCCTCCCCCCAACAATAGCTTCACTGTGCCACTTGACAGTAGTGTAGACTCCATTCAAGAATGCAAGAATGCAGTGCCTGGGGGAAAGGAACTGTGCTAACCAGCATATAGACCATGGGGAAAAAGGTCAGCGGTGAAGATGTGGGTTCGCAGAGCCACAGCACAGTCCCCGTGGAATTCGGGACTGACCAAGTAGCCGTGCCTCATGCCGAATTTCCAGAGCTCAACATGGCAGTGGGAACTCTTGTCTGGTGGCCAGTGTAGGGAGTATTTGTGCCCCACCTCCAAAAATGTTCTTATCCCACAGCCTTGTGAGTTACAGCGAGGTTATCTACAGAACCCTGCCAAATTAGAAGGAACTGCTTTAATGGAGATGCAGTACAGCTCTGGCAAAAAAGCAGCAAGCACTAACATGTGCTAGCTTGGCCTTGCAGAACATGGAGGAGCTGATGCAGACGACCATGCAGGAGGCATTCATACAACGAATTGGGTAGTTCCACTCTTTTGATTTGGGTTTCTGTTGCTGTACGTTTCAGCATAATAATGTTAATGCATAGGTCTATGTGAAACCTATTTAAAATAAGAGCTATTTAACTATCCTTTCCTGGTGTCTATTATGTGTTCGTGCCAAAAGAACTCGCATTATAGCAGGAAGAATGAAAATGCATGTCACTTCTTTGAAGGTGTTCCCTTGGAGTTTTGACTTCCAATGTTAGGGGCCCAAAGTGTTTCCTTTTGATCTCATTTCGGATGCCTTATGCCCTGGGCAGTGTCTCCCTTAAGAGATCCAATCTATTTAAACCTCTAGCAGCTAGAAGAACCTTTAAAAAAAAAAACGCTGCGAGACCATTCCCAGAGTTATGGCGCTTTTCCATCTAAAGATTCCTCATTGCCAAATTTGTGTTTTTTTTCATTTAGATTTTATAGCTTTTGTAAGTAGAATAAATACTTGGCCTGTCAATCGAAGTAGATAGAACATGCAACATACTCTACCTTTGTTTATGTGGCTGAAATGGAGCAATGCCCCTCTCTGCCAGGATAACTGTTAATAGGTGACCTTTGAGTTCTCCGCAAGGCTGTAGAGGTTGAATGCCCCAAGACACTGTCTGCATAATTACATTTCTGTAACCCTGAAGCCTGTTTTTTAGAAGTGTAAGAATAGTCTTCATAGCATTGTGGTGTTATTTCATGAACAGACACAGTGAGGCTTTGTTTACAATTGTGAGTCCTAATACCCAGCAGATCACCTAAAGAGAAGTGTCCCTGGAGAATTCTGACATTCTCAAGAGGTATAGTTTCTGAGCCATGTGTTTATTTATTCTTTGTTTCCTTAGAAATAAACATTTCCTGCCCCTAAATAAATAGACATATGTGTGAATATGTATAACCCTGGCCTAATTAGGGAGAGAAAACACTGTAACAACTGTTCATTTTAATCGGAGCCGGGATTGTTGGGGTTCTCCCCTGTGTCTTCTCCTCGTTGGCGTGACAACATGCTCCTTCGTGGTTCTGTGTTTAAGCCCTGCTTTGAAGTCTGAATCCAGGCTTCTTTGTATGGCTGTGACCCCCACCCTGAGTGCGGTAAGGGGGCAGGTTAGAGATTACCCAGCTGACGTTCTGTATAGTGTCCTCTGTACAGCTACCTTGACTGACCTACATGCAGCCCTTGGGGATGAATTGAGAATATGAAATTATAGCTGGTTCAAAACCCTGGTCTAAACAGTACATCAAATATTTGGAAAATTCCTATGCTTAAACTACCTCTTTTTCATTCACAATGATTTGTGTGTACACTAGAAATGAATATGTTGTGGTTGTTCTACCTGATTTAGATGGTCAGTACAGTAGAGGATTCCTGGCAGTTATCAGACGGCTGGTATTTTTCACGTACTGCCTCATTAGACCCCTTTTGATGTCCGTAAAAGCTGTTCTGTGTTTTCTGAAATCCCTGGGCAGATTCTTACACGCGTGATTGCAAAGACGTGTGGTTTCATTTTTCAGTGCCTTTTTTTTTTTTAGTCTTTGACATAGGAAGGATTACCACCATAGCAGGATGCCTTGATTATTGCACAAGCTGTAACACTGCCGAGCTGTGTGTCAGCTCTGCGTTTGAGATTTTGTGATTCTTTCCCTGCATTTTTTTTCTACGTTAAACATTGTAAAATTTTAAAAACATTGTCCCTTCGCTGGTCAGTGATCATCGTCATATTTGTTACAAGCAGCTTTAGAAGGAAATGCGATTGCTCGTCTTGCCCGTTTGGCTGCGCGAATACAGCAGCGCGTTCTCTGGGGTTTCTGCAGCACTGAAAGCAAGCTGAGAGGATCAGTGAAGAGGAGCTTTGTTCATGTTGCATTTCAGGAAATTCCCCAGTGATTTCATCACGCGTTCATGATGTACGATTAGAGAGGGGCTGTGGTGGGGGAGCAGGCCGTGCTGAGGGAGTGGAAGGTTCTGTGGGGGTTGATGACTTTGCACAGCACCCCTGGTCTTTTACTGTGATTGAGTTGTCTCTGTTAGTGTCTCTTTTTATTCTGCTTCAGCACTCCAGTACGATCCTGTGAAGACAACCCGTTGTGACATTGTATACTGCACAAAATTAAATGGGTGCAGAATTTAGTTTGTAAAATTAAAATGCGTTGAGGAGAGAATGATATGCTATCTTAATAATGGAAATAGCACTTAAAAAGTAGTTTCAGCTGTTATTTAAAAAAAAACAACTATCGTTGATCAAAAAAACAATGAAAGTTTCACTCAGGCAATCCTTTTGGATGGAAAAGAGTTTTGTAAATTGAAGGAATTATTAAAAGAAACACGAGAAGGCAGGTTGATGTGTGTCGTCTTGAATCATTGTGTTTATACCATCCTTAATAATCCTTGGATGCAGTTCCTGTTCAGAAATGCCTGTAATGGTATTGCAGGAAGTCAAATCTGTGTGTGCACCTGAAGAACACATTTGTCACCCAAGCCGGGGAGCTGTAAGCAAACAGTTTCCTGCCAGTGCTGGGAATGTAAAAATTGTTGATCTGTTTCTCAGAAAGAGCTTAGCAACTTTTCATAGAGCCGTGGGGCTGAGGGAGGAGGGACTTTAGGTTGTGCGCAAATGAAAAGATGGTACGGGCATTTTATCGAATTAGTGGCTGTGCAGGAAGAGAATAAATCGAGGCTCCAATTACACTGTCTCCCTGGTGTAGTATTGCTGATATATTGGAAAGTCTTCTACCTTAATATAAGTGTTTCTGGGTGCAAGTTCTGAAAGCCTGGAGAGAAGAGGGCTGTTTTATTTTCAAGGAAACCACTTTTGTCAATATTTTTGGTTAAACTTTTTTGTTAGTATTTTTGTTTGGAATAGAATATTGCATGCTTGTCTTGGCTTGCAGCTGCAGACCTGATTCAGCTCCCACTAGAGGAGAGGCGCAACCTTCAGAAACAGCACAGGTCGCCTGTTCTCCCACCTAATGGTACTTATTGGGTCGAGCTCTGCCTGTTGCACTCCACTGCTGGCAGAATCCCAGTCACAGTTGGCTCATGACATGTCTCTGCCTCAAACCCGCATGCATAGAACTCAGCCCTTCATTAAATGGCAAAGTCGTGATCACTGCTCAATTTCACTCTGCTCGGGTCCTGCATGGTACTTGAGTTGAATGCCTTTACCACTTCAGTCACTCAGGAGCCCCCCATGGACACCATTTGTGCTGCTGTTGATTGGGTGTTCATCCGTGTGTTTTTCTGAGGGATGACCATATATGATGCATTGGCATAGTTAAACTGCAAGATTCCTGTTTTGACATGAGTAAAAATGATGATTGCAGATTTAAGTGGATTATTGGATTATTTTGGTGGTTTATTAGTGATTGTACAATCCAAGGACTGAAAATAAAAGAAAACCAGGTTTGTACACCTTATTCCTAGCTAATATTTTGAATGATTCGCATAAATTAGAAAAGAGGAATATTTTTTACTTCGAATTAAAAGGAAACCATGTACGTTCGTCATGTACTGTAGGTAAGCAGTTGTACCTTTTGTCTGAGAACAGTAAAACGGTTTTGATGGAAACTGTGTTGTACGTGATCCGATTGCTTGCTGGTGTCTGTGGAAATCGTCCCAGGATCACTAGCTCCTGTTGTAAACTATTCTGGAGTCCGCTGTCGTTCGAGCAGCAAAAGAAGGAAAGGCGAAAAGCATAATGACCTCTCCGGAAAGAAATCCAGGTTAAACGTGTATCCAATCATCCTTGGACCCAGAGTTACATTATTTTCTCCTTGTAATCCGATGTGCTGGAGAGGAGGAGAGAATGAGGTCACGTTCTCCGTGGTGAAATTGGAGTGGGAGAAGGAGGGGGGCAGCGGCAGGCCGAGCGAGGGGCTGGCTGGAAGCGGCCTGTGCGTTTGTAGGGGGTGGTATGAGCCGTGATGGGAGAGAGCTCCCCAAGCCACCGCAAGTCAGCACTGGAGAAGGGAGCTGCAGACTCGCTCGGCCTCGAACGCTCGGTGCCACGTGGGAGAAGGTGTAAAAATAACTCGTAAAAGCAACAGCGCAAGTTTTTTGCGGGGAACAAGACTCGTTCAGCGGCTCGGGTCTGAAAGTTTGATGATAATTATAGAGCGGCAGCAGTCGAAGGCAGAGAAAATGTCATTTTTTTTTTTACTGTAAGCTTCAAAGATGGTTTTTGCATGCTTTAACATAAGAGAAAAACCTGTCCCAAGCATGCCTCCCCTTCCTCGAGCAAGAGTGTGCAATGTTAGACCTGACTTCAAAGTCAGGCGCTTCATGATGGTTTGCAGAGTAGGCTCCCTAGAATGTCTTGAGAGTCATTTGGGCTCTCTAATCCGGACTCGGACTCAGAAGGCAATACCCAGTGCCTCAATTCTCAGCCTGAGGGCTTATGAAAGCTCCAAGACAATCCAGCATGTCTTCAAGAAGAAGCAACAAATATTTCACCCCAAGATTGAGTAACGTATAAAATCGGCATTCTTACGCAGTGCTAAGATTTGTTTTGGTTAATCTGTTCTGACGGAGTCGTAGTGCATTTGTTGACCTGCACTTCTGCCTGTTTACATGAGTATTTAATAAAAGCCTTATCTTATTTTACTTTGGAGGTTCCTTAGTGATTGTTCCAACCTTCAGATCCCTCCCACCGTCCAGAACAATTCAATGTGCCGAATCCGTGAGACAGCTCTTCCCACTCCCCTGATCCGTGTTTTTATTTGCGTCTTCCTGCAGGAGCCCTGGACGAGGATGTGGTGGTCATCGAGGCCACCCCCGCCCCGCCAGTCCCCGCCAGCGAGGAGATCAACGTCACCTCCACGGACAGCGAGGTGGAGATCGTGACCGTGGGAGACAGCTGCAGGTGAGTTGAGGGTGAGGTGGTGGGGTGTCGTGCTTTTCCCTGTGCCTATGTGCTTATGTCCTGCCACCCCCATTCATCAAGAGAAGCCCATCATGATGTCAAAATCAGGGACACGCTGAAGACCTGACACTAAACAAAATCATCAAATACGTGGACGTTATTCACCATGGGTTTTCACAAGTTTTTATTTAGTCATTCAGACATTAATCTTTCCATAATTTCTTCTTGTTTAGTACCACACCTTTTTTTGTGTGTCGTTGCTTGTTGTGGCATTTATAGTTTCAGCTCAATCCATGGTAACATCAAACAGGAAACTTTTTTTTTGCCTTCGTGCTTCTTTGTTACGGTGTTACTCTGCCAGCCTTTGAAGATATCAGGCTACCCAGCCAGGTAAAACGCCGATCCTGTCAGGACCTCTTTCCATCTCAGCCCAGGGTTGTAGTAGCCTGAGCCAAGCATTCCTATACATTGTTCAGGAATGCTACGGAGATGGATGTGTCCCAGCAACTCTTCCCTGTGCTGTGGGACACTGCTGTGTCTCCCACCCACCATGGTAGATCTCAGCAGCCTATTACTAACGTTAGGGTGTGAGAATGGCTATACCACATACACGGCAGCCATGTGGGAATTCCTGCAGAGAAAGGAAATCTCTCGGGTCCTTGATCCAAAATGTTTCAATGAACTAATTATCAAAGCTGATATGAATTAACCTTTGTTATCAAAGCTTTCAGAAAGTGGTGTCGTAAATCCTGTTTTTTGTTGTACTGTTGATTCAGTCTGACATGCAATTTAAATAGGCAGGACTGGATTGTGAATGCATTCTTCAGGCACTTCTAAGACAGTCACAGCTGTTGCTATAGCTGTGTGCTCTGAGGGCAAGCCTCATCTAGTAATGGGTTGACTGAGTTTACCAACCCCCCCGCCCCTGTAAAAATTACCATCCACCAAGGCTGGTTCATCTTCTGGAGATGCCCTTGGGTCACAGTGTTTCCCTTGCTGTATGAACCTAAGATCTTTCAAACGTCCCTTTATTTGATTTTGAGAAATGACATTGGGGACATTAAATCCGGGTGATACAATGCAATCGACATTCTCAGCTTTTGGCTTTGTCAAAGTCCTCCAAGCAACGTCAATTCCTGATGCATGAGAATAAGTACCAGTTTTCCAAATGATTTATTCAGTATGATACATTGTGATGTTTGTTTTCCCCTTACGCCCAAGCCTGTTGTATATAAGACTTTCATTGGTCAGTGTAGAAGACATCAGAACAAGAGGCCACGTGGTTCTTCCTTCTGCGTGTTCTTCTGGGGTTTGGATGGGTGTGATGTAATGAAAGGTTATAAAGGTCACTGAGATTGCCAGACTGGTGGCCGGAGCCAAGAGTCCGCTGTATTAACTCCCAGCCCTGCTGCTCAGGGGAGGTGCAGAAAGGTGGCTCAACAGAGAGGGCGCTAGGTGTGGGGCTGTGTGGCAGTGTGACTGTACTATCCGGTAGCATTCCACTCGGCTCGCTCTTCTCCTCCCTTTAATTGTTATTGAGGTGCTTTGGTGCATGGTACTTAAAATCATTTCCAACGGCTTGATTCCATTATCCTGCTCAGTGGTTCCAGAAATAGCTGGGCTGACAAGCTGGCCTGCAAGCAATGTCACTTTGTCAGCCCAGATTAATTGCTTTCTGTTTGTCATGTGCGTCTTCCTCTCCAACCAGCCTGGTTTTGAGGCGAAAATTACCGGTAATGGAATCGGTAATAGGTTACTTTTCCTGCCCCCCGCTGTGAATCCATATCCCTGTACATCTGCTTGAGAGCCTTTTTTTTCCCCACTCGTTTTTCACAAACGAAGGGGAGCTGCGATCAGGCAGCATCTGTTCTTTTCACAGGCCTGAGCACAGGGGCCTGTCATTTGATAGCGCCCCTGATTCATGAAGGGCATTCACGTTTCATTAAAATTTAAGCTTGCAAACCACAATAGAGGACCCCTGCGTCTGTCATATATTTTTATTTTTTATGATACCGATATTCATGGCCGTCACATGTCCTGTGTGGTAGTGGTGTAATACCACCACAAACCTGGCTAGAAGAGTCAGGTTAGCACACATGCACAGACACGTGCTACTTAGCTGGTCTGATTAATTAACAACTTAATACTTCTATTATAAATTTAATTAGGTGAATTGTTCAGTTTACTACTGAGGTCAGACAAAAAAAACAATACATTCCAGGCCCTCCAGAGGTTGAATGTGACAACCCTGCCCCACGCGTATAAAATATTAATTGGTGTCTTTCTGATGCTGTTTTTTTTACATCCGTTAAGCTGTGATAGTTCGGTAGAGAAATCTGCTCAAATTGTGTGAGGTCTGTGAGAATCTGGATCGAAACAATCAAGCAGTGGGTTGCTCTTATTTATATTAGATTGAGCCTTTTGACTTCCAATAGTTTTTTTTTATTCCCTGACTCAGTGGCTGGTCACAGGTAGTAGTTTGAGGCTGAACAGGAGTAACTTTGTAGGAAATGTGTTCCTCCATGTTGAAGAACAGATTTTGGTAGTCGTGGAGACGGTTACAATTGTTCACAATCTTAAGACCAGGGTCGCTGTGTCTTGTAAATAAAAAAAAAAATTAAAGCTAGTAAGAGCTGGCTGACTCACTTTTCGATCCCGTTAACATTTGCTTCAGAACCTTGATAAAAACCCTCAATCCACAGAAAAGAAGACAAATGCCACATATTTATCTTTCTACCCCATAATGGTTTATGATTCCAGTACAAGGCAGAACCTGTAAATGAGTGAGCCTTCTTAAGAGATCTTAAAGTTCAGTGTAGCCGCATACAGCTGGCAGAAGAGGGGGGCTTTACTTGGTTTTAACTTGCACAGCCCTTGACGCTCATTTACAGCTTCTCTCTCCACCGGTATCCCAGTTCACTGCAGAATACAAAGCCAAGGGAAAGAAAGACCTACAGGCTGTAAAACCATTTTGCAGGAGTCACTTGAAGTAAGGGGTGGGGAGTGTGTTCTTTCCTTGATTTCCTGACTCATCAAAGCCCTGGTAATGTGTGTGGAATGCTGAGAGTGGGGTCTGAGGTGGGGTTTGGTGGGTCTAGGGATACTAACCAGAGACTCTGTGCTACTGGAATGTGACTGACCGAGGTTACAATGTGTGGAGGGCCTTTCTTTCCTTCTGGACATTCAAGAGGAACCAGACAGCACATCAAGTCCCTGCCTCCCCCATCCTTGTCAGAGTTTCTGGCTGGGGTAGGGGCTATGAAGTGTGGTGTTGAGGTGCAAGTGCCTGGGTTGTTTTTAGCTGTGCTGTTTCTGTCTTTCTGCCCTGCCAACTGATCTTTCTCCATCTTGGCTTCAGAATCTCATCCTCCTGGCTCTGAGCCTCACTTATGAATCTGCTAGCAGGTCAGGATCTCTCTGGGTATCACCTGCATCAACATGACCTGTGCTCTCACTCTTCTGGAGACTTTCTTTTGACATTTGCATATTTTGCAGATTGGACTGCGTTCTTCCCAGTTTTCCAAAATTCAGTTTATATGGGAGGTGTCTTATCATCCTAACCTGTTAGCATCATCGTCTTCAGCTGTAGCATGTTTCTTTTAATGAGTTAATGAACATTGTCCAGATTAAATCCTCTTTACCAAGGATGATGTCAGGTCAGTATCTTGACTTTCTTAAACCAGAGTGAAAAACAACCTGAGCGTCCCATTTTAAAAGGAAGCTGGTGACAGATTCAGACCTGTGAGACCTGTCGACTCAAGTTGCATGAAGTCCTCAGTTGTTTAAAGCTCGTTGTGTTTTAAGTTTTAAGTTAAACTCCTCTCAAAGTTAGCACTTCCTGGAAATGGATGCAGTGTATGCTTTTAAAGCATGGAAAGAGGTGCAGGAGGGTCCAGTGGTATCTGATCACACAAGGTACCTTGACCCATTGTGAATCCCTGCCAGGTTGTTCTGACCCTTTCAGGACATTGGCGGGTTCAAAGGTCAGGAAATGATCATTGAAGTTGTCTGCTGAAAGAACCTTTGTTTACAAATCAAGGAGGGTGAAAAGTGGTGTGTGTGATGGGTCTTCGTAAACTTTGTCCTTATGAGACAATGGACAAACCCTCCCCCGTAGACGGATTGCTGCTTTCTGTTAGCAAAGGTATTGAAAGGAAACACATCTAAATTGAAGAGATAAAGGATGGCTCTCGTCTGCTTTGCTACATTTGTGATGGGTGATTTTGAAACCCAAACTTTATGGATAATAAACACATAATGTGTGAGTTATCATTTGCCTCATAGTGCTGTAGAATGGCATTTAACAGTGTTCACATTATGTAACATTTTCCTGTTAGCTTGCAGGAAAAAAAGATCCTGATGAGGATAAACAATTTTAAGGGCCACTTATTCAGTTGTGTTAATGGAACAATTCTCAACAATTTGGCATAATGATTAATTTAATTCTAAATAAAATGTATTTGTTTCCCTGGGACAGTTTATTTGAGGTAGTAAATTGCTGAAAGTAGTCCTAGCTATTTCAACAAGATCCGTTACAATAAGACATTATTCATGGGGGGCTTACAAGTGTTGGTGGGAAATTTCTCCCGGTGAGTTATAGATCCTTTTCTGAACTTTAATATGCCTTAGTGTGGGAGACCTTTTTTAATTTTAGTTGAGTGGTGTACTTGTATTTGAGTGGGGTATTTATGGGATTGCCTTATGGTTTAACATTATTTCCCATATGAGAGGCCCTTAATCAACCTATCCAACCATCCATCCATCCATTTTCTAACCACTTCACCCTGTTCGGGGTTGTGGATGAGCTGGAGCTTATCCTAGCAAGCAGCGGGCATAAGGTGGCGTACAACAGGGATGGGATACCAGTTGATCGCAGGGCATATATGCAGGCACACATGCTCTCACACCAGGGCCAGTTTTCCCAGAAGCCAGTTAACCTACCAGCATGTCTTTGGGCAGTGGGAGGAAACTAGAGCACCCGGAGGAACCCCATAGAAACATGGGGGAATCTACAAACTCCGTGTGGATAGCACTACAGGTGCAGGATTGAACCCAGGACCCCAATGCTGTAAGGGCCTTTAACCAGCCTGTTTACTTTTTTAGCTGCCGATTTCAACACTGAAGTGAGATTATGCATCACAAACCATTTAAAATCTAATGTGGAGCTGCCATTATGCAGTTGTGTGCGGTAATAACATGGAGTTGCTTGCAGCAGTTAAAAAGCTCACTTTTTTTTTACAAAAAGCATCATTGAGACCTGTATACAAGGGCATGTGTGAAATCCTAGGACCTGTTTCGCTTGCAGTAGCAACACAGTGGGGCTCCTGCCAGTCCCTTTTGTGTATCCCCCTGTGCACCACAAGTCCGTAAACACAGGATGGTAAAGCCCAGCTGTTGCCAAGCCTTATCCTTTGAGACCGCTGGGCGAAATTTGTTGTGTAGATACGACTGCTCGCCAAATTCCAGCTGCCTGCTTATGTTTATCGCTTTCCACTTCCCTTCCTAAAGACTCGTCGTAAACAGGTATTCCAAAATAATCCCACATCTGCTTCTTGGCAATTAGGAATTCCCAAGGTGGGGCCGCCGCATTGCTCTGGGAACCAAACATGAACCAATTAATGAGCAGCCCGATGCTTCTCGAGCAAGGGGAGCACGTAGCCCACCGGGGCACATTAACTGATGTGAATGCAGTGTAGGCATTCCCTGCAGGGCCGATGCTGGATACAGAATCTTGGCTCTACTTCATCACGGCATCCGCAGCAGAGCCGACTGGAACCAGGCGCGTGTGTGTGTTTGTGCGTGTGTGGAGCCGAGGGCACGACTTCATAACATTCCAAACTCCCACTGGCCATGCACCGGCCCCAGAGAGGGGCAGAGTGTTGAGCGCTGGGTAGCAACCTGGTGGAGTTAGGGCAGCAACTCGGGGCTCTGAGGGTTTGCAAAAAAGGAAAAGAGGAGACGGGCTGATTAAAGGGAACGTCGGCAAACATCAGTCGGGAGGTAGATTAATGCGTTGTGTCCTGTATCACAGCATGAAAACTGTATGAATGCGTGACAAACCGAGTGATTCAGCTGTCACAGGGAAGGTAATGACACTTCATAGGTTTAATCTAGAGCGTTGTGCATGATTTAACAGTTTAGAGACCATTGGGGGGAAAAAAGCAGAAGCTTTAAACCATGTAGGCCTTTCATTATTTTCCCCCTTTGATGTCGTCATTCATATGATTTCCAGCAAATGATAACGTATGGTATCAATAACCCTTCTCCCTTGTGTGGAGGGGATAGAACAGTCTTTCACTCCAGTAATTGTTAAAGAGAAGAAACAATAGGAGCGGATACGATAGCTCTCGCTGGCCTCGCAGGATTTCTCCCTCTCCGCCCCTCCTTCCCCCTCGCAGTTAATCATTTTGTTATGATGCCTTAATGATGCAATCTGCGGTTAAGAGGTTAGAGCCGCGCGCTGGGAGGCCGGGGTTAATTCCCTCCGCAGGCCTCGCTATCTGACGAGCAGTACTGGGGAGCCTCCTCCTTCTCACAGCATTCATCCCGGAGGTGAGACGGGGGGGGAGGGAAACACACACACACACACCGCACGACTCGGAGAAGCAGGACAGCTCTACTTCAGGTGCATTTACATCCACAAATAATCCAATATAAACACAGCACACACAGCGTGACTAGGTGAAGCCAGACAGTCCTACGCCGGTTGTTTAAATCCACAGATAATCAGATACAAATACAACATGCACAGCACGATGGAGAGAACAAAGACCACTCTGCTTCAGGTGTGTTTAGATCCGTAAATCAAATGTAAACAACACGCACAGTGTGACTAGAAGGAGGAAAACAGTTGTACTTCAGATGTGTTTAAATCCACAGATCAAATCTAAATACAGGCACACAGCGAGAGCGCCGTCCCCTGCGTTAAACACAAGAGACAGAATGAGCTCTTCTGCTTTTGTCTGTCCGGATAGACCAGCAGGTTTGAAGACTGTACCCCTTACCCATCCCATGAGTTTGGCTGATCAATGTGGAGCTTCATGCTGGGATGTGATGTGCGCTGACCCACCATCCCCAGCCCAGAGCCCTCACCATACACTGCTCTGCTCTCAGCTCAGGCCTGCCTCCATTCCACAGACTGTTTTGGAGGCTGTGCAGCACAACCAGTACAACTACAGCTGACTTCAAACTGCTTCGTAAACTCAAACTGCTTTCTGAAACATTTTTTTTTATTTATTTCATATTGTTTCCACGCCCCAGGCCTTTACGTGTGAGCTTTCAAGCTTAGCTGTCTATGGCAGGTGTGGCTGTTGATTTTCAAGCCATATGAGCTAACAGAAACTTGCCTTAACTTTATTTTCCAATCGCTTGTTATTTTTTGGTGTTTACGTAACATGCCAGAAAGGAAATGAATGAGTAAATAGTGATGGTATACAAGAGGTTTAAAGTGATTTAAAAAATACATAAACAATATTGAAATGTTATGACAGAGTAATCAGAAAATGCTGTTTAACACTGTCTGCAGTCTTAGACATTGCAAGCAAAATTACTAGGATGTGACATCAGTATTGCACACTTCAGGAATACAAACTAGGATGATCTCATCACACTCCCTGCATTCATGACATAAGCATGATCCAAAACACTGGTCTGTTCCAGGGTGAGCAGGCTTCTCTTTTTAATCATTTAACTAAGGAGCAAATTGGTTGTGGAAAAAAGTGTTTACTTTAAACCAACTGTTCCAGATCTGGGCTGCAGAAGTTAACTTTTCCGGGCCTTTTGGCAGTTATGTGATAAAATGACATTTCCTGAAGTTTTCGGGACTTCAAAGTTGTTTTTTGTGCTTTTGTTGGTGTGACAAAAGAGTTAACCTGTCTCTGGGAATCTGAACCCTGGGCAAGGGGAGTCATGCCAGAGTTGTGTGAATGCTCTTGAGTTAACTTTTCTCTCCAGTTCCTTTCAATGGATGTCTGCCAATTCTTAAATTATCTTTTAATTACCATTCTCCCTTTCCACCTTGCAGGCACGTTTATTCACCAGCATATCTCCCCTGTCTTTGTGGTCTCCCCTCATAATCTCTCTCTTAGCTTCAGAGTCCCAACTCGTCTCTCAGCTCAAGAGTCGCTCTTCCAATATGCCATTAAGAAGGCTTGATAAAGGATGGAATTTTCTTCAGGAAAGCCTCTACATGGCTTAAAAAGAGCGTACCTGCAACAAAAACCTCATGGCAGCTACAGTATGTCATTTAAACTTCTGTAGCAATGTTTAATGATCAACCTATCGAAAAGAGAGCGGGTTTATTCTGTGGTTTATTCATCCCAGACATAGTGGAGAATGCCTTGGGCTAAAACTTCACTAAAACTTCATTTTTTGAAAGTACGCCTGGTATTTTAAGGAGACGTTAAATATATAAGAACAGGGGAGTTCCCCAAATGTTGCTAGAGGGAAGAAAAATTCAAGACGTTTTTCATTTTCCTGCTGCACTATTAAAATCTGACGGAAGGGTGTTGTCTGGACCCCGAGGTTGGCGATCGGAACCGAGCGTTGCCCAGACTCACGCAGCATGCGGTTTGTCTTCCCAGGTCTCGCTCGGCTGGGGGCCACTCGCGCTCGCACTGGGGCCCCGTCTGCAGCTCGCAAAGCCGCGCGCAGGACCAGCGCAACCGCCACCGCCTGTCCACCGTCATCCAGCCGCTGAGGCAGAGCGCCGCCGAGGTGGTGGACCTGACGAAGGACGAAGACGGTAAGGCCCCCTGCCGCCGCTCTGCCTGTGACCCTTCAGAAAGGGGCGGGGGGGGGGGCACCAGAAACAGGCCATCGCGGGCAGGGGAGGCAGCTTCTGCTGCTCCTTCTGTACCGCTATTTTAGCAACATGACGCAATGAATGGCAAATCAGGTTGAATGGAGAAACAGGCCACCTTCAGAAAAAAAAACGGTCAGTGGGCTTCAGCTTAATGAAGATGACCTTCAAGCCGTGGAGCAAAACTTCAGCGTGATCACATTTTCATCGCAGAAGGCGTGTAGCTTGTTGAACAATAAGCAGACAATGTCTTCATGAGCCCCCATTCAGAGAACCTGCTAGGATCCGTCCTTCCTCTGACTTTCCTCATGAGCAGCTGATTACAGTTGTCAGTACAGCTTGCCGTGATTGAATTAAGACCCTCTCCCGATTAACTGCTTGTGTACAATATTGAACTTATTTGCAAGTAGGTGTTGCTAACCTTTTTGGACAAAATGAAGGGCTGTTTTGTTCCTGAAACTGAGCGACCTTGAGGTAGGGAAGCATTAGCATCTGTTTCAATGACAGGGCCCACTGGTTGTGTCCTTAATGATTGTGAATCAAAATGGACACATGACTGCTCCGTTATGTATTGGCTGCCAGATCCCCAGTTATTACAGATCTGGTAAATTCGAAAAGACCAGGGGAGGGCGAGGGTTCCAGCAGTAGTTCATTGCAGTTAAGTATATTCCTCCTTTCTGCCTTCCGAGATTCACTGTCACAATCTAAATCTCTTCTCTGTCTCTTATACACCTATCACAAAATATAGGGCAAGAAGAACTTGTAATAGAAACTGAATCCCAGAGTGAAACATGTAGCGAATAGTTCCCACTGTGAAACAGAATTGGATTTCTATTCCAGCAGTAAAATAACCCCCTACTGGCAAACGGAATTGTAATTTATTTTTCGTATGTGCGTATATAAAATCCCTCTAGTCTGATCTAAATGAGTAAATGACTTGTCAGATTCTCATATTACGCAGCGTGGGATTAAAAACGTTAGATGTCACATTAAATAAACGAATTTGTCATAACTCAGTTTTTCAGTAGGATTAGCTTCAGTATGTGCGATTTCTGTTTTGTCGCTGTCGTTATTTTTTTGTTTTAGAAATTCAATTAAATCAATTAGCGTTGTACAGATGCAGCTATTTACATACAAATGCAATGTGCACAAGCATAAATAAAAGTGAGATGGTAGATTAATCCATCATCTCTTATAAAACCACATAATAACCAGACTTCCCCTCTAGCAACTGTTTGGATCTTAAAACTTCAGTCAGAGAAAATACAGCATTGATGGGTTTCTTGTCCAGAATGAGGAGTATGGTTTCTATTATTATTTTTTTAAATTTACAGTGCAATTTCCTATCAGTAAATTAACACAATGATATTTTTTAGATTGAACACAAGTCCAATTCATTAAACCCGAACAAAGTGACATTCAGGGCTATTGAAAAGTCTGTAAGGCGAAAATCCAAGCATCTCCCCTTTCAATCCATGTCTTTAACGCTGCTGGCTATAAGCACATCATAACCTGTCTGCTGCTGTAGTGTAGCTCAGTGTTTTATCTTCAAAGCTACAGGCTCTATTGAGTGTAGTCTGGGTTTTCTAGGGTAAAGAAATGGGAAAACGCACATTAAGGGTTCTAAATAGCTTAATTTTTATTACCTCCACAGTTGAAAATACGAGAGTATGGCCGTCTAATTATAACAAGTGCTGTATTGGCATTTCTTTGAGGAGGGGTATTCATTTTGAATATTAAGAAAAAAAGATGCTTTGCTAGAAAGCTAATGAGATGTGTTGCCTGTTTTCAAGGCAGTGGAAGACATCACAGAAGAAAGAGCTGAACGGACAAACCCGTTTACCAGCATAGGTCGATCTGGATAAGGGTGTCTGCTGAACATTCAACAGCTATAATAATAGTGACTGTAGTGGGGGTTGGTCAAAATCCTCTGTCAAAAACTGTTTTTTTTTTTGTCCTGCTTTTTCTCAGATCTCACAGTAGTGCCAACAACGTCTGACAGCGGGCACCCCCAGCCTGTCAGCTCCTCTTCCAATAATGCCTCTACCTCAGAGCAGCCCCTGGACAATGCTGCCCCTGGCCCCTCCACCAGCAGCCATGCCTCTGCGTCCGAGACCATGCTGGGAGGGCCTGCACACAGCAGCACAGCTGGCCCAGCGGCAGGGGGTAAGGAAGGCCCTTGAGCTCATGGGGCACACTGGGGCGCGCTGGGTAGGAACAGGGATCAGGACACCACCATGCCCTTCTCCCGTGTTTCCTCTTTCTGTACCGCTGAAACTGCATGCTCCACACTCCTTGGGAGAGTGATCATACCTGTACTTGCATGTCTTTAGATATGGTTCACTGAATTTGAGGTCTGCATAATTATACAGTGCATCCAAGCTCTGCTTTTAATCCATGGTATAAAACAGTGGTTTGTTTCTTTTATTAAACATTTCTTGTGGAATGTAACTGGTGTTTAACATCTTTGTCTCTGTTTGTCTAAGATGACACTAGAAGAGGCTCGGCCACCCTGGCAGGGGAGGGTGCAGGACCGGCGATGCCCAGGCTGCCATCTTGCTGCCCTCAGCACTCTCCTTGTAGTGGGCCCTCACAGGGGCACCTCCCACTGAGCCACAGCCACTCCAGCTGCATGCAGGCCCAGGCCCAGCCAGCCTCGCAGCACGGCCACTCACACCACTTCCAGCACCACCACCACCACCATCACCACGCGCCCCCGCCCCCCCTGCCTTTCCCGGAGTCCAGCTGCCCCCTGGAGAGGCCCACCGCCATGCCCGCGCCCTGCGGGGCTGTTAATGCCTCAGGCAGCCAGTACCATGACCAGGTAGGCATTATCTGCCCTCTGCCCTCTTTTTCCTGGTGGCCATAGCCCATAGGACCACAGGTGATCCCCCACTGCTAGCAGGGCATCAGTGGTGGTTGTGAGCTCAGCACAAGCAGTAGCCAGTTGAGCTGGTGGACAAGGCCAGGAGGAGTTAAGAAGTTGCCCGGATTTAGGAAAAAAAAAAGTGTTGGTAATTTAGACAGTTATCAGGCATGCTTCAGTTACTATGCATATCTGAATTGTAGAAACTTGTAAGTAAGTTCTTTTCTTAAGAAACAGCTGGATGAGATCCTTGGATTAATAAGCTACCAAATTAGGGCGGATAGACCAGATGGCCACCTCTCATTTGTAGGCTAATGTTCTGAAGTAAAATCATTTTTAGGCAAAGCCGCCTGTTTTGTCTGTCACTGCATAGTACCTTAAGCAACCTGAAGGTGTGACGTTACATGGGTGTTTTGGACTGATTTACAAATCAGTTTGTGTTGAGAATTCCAGTGTGGTTCCGTTAGGAGGGGTTCAGATCATAGTGATGTGTTTCAAGTTCAGGCCATTAGAGTAAGGATCTCCTTTCCGTGTGTACCACTGGCAAAGGGGGAAGTATTCATGAAAGAGAATTCAGAATATGGGAGCTGTTTGTAGATGTGCAGTTTGACAGAAGCTTTGAAAAGAAATGATTTAACCTGGAGATCTGGGGTTTACGTGTATCAGAGAAACCTGGAATTCAAGGGCTCATTTTTGTATCTTGGGTTCCGATTGGAAATCGAGCTTCTGAGGGCATGTTGAGATTTATGACCTTTGCCCTACATAGAGGTCTTTGTGGATCTTTTTTTCTGTAGCATTGCAGGAAGCTAGAGCTCTTATGAAACCACTGTGCATTCACCTTGATCTTCCATTCATGTGCATCTTCAGATAAATAAATAATGACTTGTTTTCTCATGCTGCATATTGACTACATTCCAGTTATAGGGAACAGCAGTACAGGATCTTGGTGGAACATTCATTTTCAGAAACATGTCAGGCAAGTTTAGTTTTGATTGCCGTCCTGCTGTGACAAAGAGAGCATTTATACCTCTCAAGTAAATCCAGATCCTCAAAGTGTTCATTACTGAATTCACTCATCGTGCTGTGTAAGGCAAGTCAGTACAGTTTTCTCCCTTTAATGCAGAATTCTGTCATTTCTTTGTCAGTCAAGCAAACGACTGATATAGCACAAATAAAGCACAAAGTCATTCAGATGAATATGTAAATTATTTATGATGAGCAATTACATTTATTAGGAAATTAGGTCTAATAGTGTTGTTCCTGCCACAGTCTTTACATAGAGTTTTCTTCCAGTTTTTGGTGCATTAAAAGAATTTGCAGAGTGCATGACCACAAGCCTGTGCAGGCACACATTGTTTATTAATGAAGTTGCATGTCTTTTAATGTCACTCTGCTCACGAATGCCAAAAGATAAAAATCATTTGCAGTGAATAATATTTTAATCTTCATCCAAAAATATTTGCCATCATTGCTTTTTTTATAGAATACCACGTGAGATATACAGTGGCCCATTTCAAGTCTAAAAAAACTGCACCATTAATTCATTGAAAAAAAATAATTTGCCTCAGTTGACAAATAATTTATATTTCAACAAAACTGTTCTAAAGAAAACTGCTGGAAGGTTCTGTAAGCCAGACAGAGCCTGTTATGAGATTAACAATTCAAGATACGTATATGAATAATTCAGATTCTGCTAATTGCTGAAGCTGCTGAATTTTATTGTTTACGATGAAACTTTGCTCCCGGATCAATAAGGCTTTTTAAAATGTAATGAATGTAGGCAAAGAGGGGGATGGTGTCTGGAAGTTAGGTTTGGGGCTCTTTTCCTCCTTTATTTAAATGCACTGCTTCAAGCCTGCTTTAATAATTCATTTATGGATATGCATTCCAAAATGTGTCAAATTTTTAGCATAGAAAGGAAGTGGTTATGTGTTGAATACATTTGAAGACGTTCCACACTTTGATAAAGTAGCCACAAGCTGCAGATGCCCTCAGCCATTACAGATGCACATACAGTTGTGAGCCATATTGCCAGAATGGGTTATATAGTATGTATAATACATCAAAGTGTTCAGACCTGTTTAAAACAGGACAGATTTCTCCTTGAATGTAAAATAAACCCTCCACTGGTACGACGGTATTTTCTCTCATTCTTTGATTATTTATTATTTTCAGCCTCAGCCTGCTTTAGAGAGAGAACTGATGATGAGCTCTATTGTTACACTGTTTCATATATAAAATCCATGACGTTTTGTATATTGTTGTCTTGAAGCTGAGAGATTCAGTCACTCCAGAGATGAAAGGCAGCCTGGCAATCTGTAGCCCCGTAATGCGCGCTGGCTCGCTTTAGTGTTAAACTTCTGTCTCTGGCGCTGATGGTATCTGAATTTATATATTTTGATTTTAAAAATGTTCTTTAAAAGAGCCCTTAGCACTTGGCCATGGAGGGTTCATTGGCAAGCCTTAGAACTCTGGCTTTTAACAATCCCTGAGCATCAGTTTCTGCAGGAGTTTTCATTTTCGCTGGCGGGGGTTCAACTAGATCACTCCTTTTATCCTTTCTGCAGTTCAGGCCCAGTCATAACAGGTTCTTTCTTCAGATATGACCTAGGGAGATGAAATAGGCAAATTATTTCATTAAATAACACCTTAACATATGCAGGAAAGCAGACCTATGGTTTATCATATGCATGGTTTTTCACTTCTATTTTCTTTTGATGTCTATTAATGCTACCCAGCACAAAGAATTGCGTTATTTTATTGCATGGACTTCCACGTTTGCCTTTTACTGTAGCCGTGGAATGACACGGGTAAATAAGTAATGAACTGAAACGATTAACTGTATCTGCTGTACTTCGCTGTGCGTGAGCGTTCGTGGCCCGCTGGTGATGAGCTGTGGAACGGGTGCCTTTCAGCAGACCCTGCCCGTGGACTTGAGCAGCAGTGGGGTGAGGAGTCACGGCGGCAGCAGCTTCCACGGGACCTCGGCCTTTGACCCCTGCTGCCCGGGATCCTCCTCTCGGCCGGCGGTGTACGGCTCCCAGGCGGCGGCCGGGCCCAGCCAGCCGGTCTCCGTGGACAGCTATGGCTCTGGAATGGTGGCCCAGCCCCAGCCGCAGCCCCAGCTGTCCTCCTGCAGACATTACCTGCACCCCTCGTGTGAGTATCTCTTCCTTATGTGCACCTGGTTCACACCGCCGGTGGGGGTGGGGGGTGTAGGGGGGCAGGTTCTTCAGCACTGGCACCCGAACACTTCCTGCGCGAGACATGTGGAAGACGAGGCATTAATCAATGATTTGGGTCACAAGAGCTTGGGAGATCTGCCAGTTAGACGCCCAGGTGGGTTATCCTGAGGATCACTGGATGCTGAAAGGGTGGTTCTGGGAATGAGGGCAGCATGACCCTTGACCCTCCAGGCCCACGTTGTGTCCACTTCCCTGACCAGTGAGCATGTCAGACCTTTGTGTCACCGAGTGCCATGTGTGCTGATTCGCACTGGTGTTGTGGTGTTGCTCTGAAGGAGCAGGTAGATTCATTGAGCACCTTGAGCTAAACCAATTTTCTGCCGTTTTCTAAAGAAAAGGATGCATAGTCACCCATTGTGATATGCAGTTTGCCTTGAATGAACTAGTTTTGTCAGAAATAGATGTTCAACTCACTTTGGCAGTTACTAACTTTAATGTGTTTGTTTTAGTTCTCTGTGCTACCTTTATTTTATGGATCTCATAAAAAAAAAAAACTTCTACACAAACCAGTGTTTTTTCAGTGACGTTCGGCTTTTGTTTCCAAAGGCAGCGTTTCGGCTGTGAAGCCTTCTTCAGGCGTGAAGGCTGAACTCACACTTGAAGAAAGCTCCGTAGCCAAAAGTGTCATTTTCCTTTCAGCATGGAATAAACCTTTACCTGTATTTTTGACTATTTCTTGAACAGATCCACCAGATCTGTTTTGGGAGTTTTCTTGCTGAATTAGGCACTGCTGAGTCCTCTGTGAGCATCAGACCCTATGGCAGATAAGAGTAGAGGCAATGTTGGGTTCTTGACTGGTAGTGCGTTTAAGTAAGGTACTTGCTCGGTTTGGTCCAGTAAAACGCCCCAGTTGTGGAAAAAGTGTACAATTCTACATCGCCTTGAAAAAAGCTAACTAGTTTCCATGCCGCTCAGCCTGACCGCGGTTTGCATTGCCATTGAACTGAACTGGACACTTCCGCTGAACCTCCCCCGCCGCCCCAGCACTCTAGTATCGGCGTGTTCGATTGGCCAGTGTTGTTTGGGTCGTAGCATTCCTTGACCCGATTGGGCGCCCCCTGCCCTTGTTTGCCTAAAAGCCATTTGCGAGGCCGGAGGGGGGACGCGTGGGTAATTGCGCAGTTTTTTGGTCGTGGGAAGGTGATCCAAGTGCGCGAGACATGACTTCTGTGGATTCGCCTTGCTTCTGTTTGCCTTTAGCTGGCTATCAAATTTACGCAGGTATGTTTGTTTTGTGCTCTTCAAGTAAACGTAACGAGGGTGTTCTACCTTTTCATTTTAAACTGTGTAGGTTTTATTAAACTGACGCGTTAGTGCCGCTCTGTTTAATCCGACTGCATTATTAACTTCACAATAAAAATAATCGACTGGGATATCCGTAGATAAAGTCGTCACATAAAGTGCTAGTAGATTACAGTTGAGATCGCTTACCTTTTTTAATGCAAGTAACAGTGTTTCGAAGTAGTGGGGTGGGCTTTAAAAACGCGCGGCGTGTGTAGACATCCACATTGATTGCCTCCCGGACATGGGCTAGGCTTGAGGGAGCGGGGTGTCCCGGGGCCCGTGCATGCTCAGGCAGCCGATGTATTCGCACAGTAATGTCACAGTGGGTGGCAGACTGCGTTCAACCTCTTCATTCCCCGCATGGGGGGAGTTGTGCGGTTCCAAGGGCGACAGAACCGCATTCTCTCAACTTCTGCCTTTGTCAAGTAAGGGCGTTGGAGCATGAGACGATGTACCGTAGTTCCTTATGGAGTATGAGTGATGAAGGTATATATAGGACATCCATCCGTTTTATAGCCCGCTTTATCCAGTACAGGGCTGGGGATCAGCCGGAGCCTAACCCGGCAAACAACGGGCTCAAGGCAGGGTACACCCTGGGCGGGACACCAGTGTATCACGGGACACAAACAGACACTCATGTACAGGATGTACATGTGCACTCTTGTGCGATGTACAGGAAGTGTGATTTCCGTTTCTGTAAAGGCTTTCGTGGTCGTGCTGTGCCTATCCTCGTTATTGATCAGCGAAATAAAGGCTTATAACCCAGAGCCTTTAGTAGCATGCGGAGTCCATGAACTGGGTCCCTTTCAGTGCTGCTGTAAAGACTGTTCTGTTAGTATTTAGCAGTAATCTTAAAATATGACATTCCTTGTTTTGGTGTATAAATAATGTCAGTGAAATTAGTCTATACCATTGCATCAGATCTGCCCTTTTGAAATGTTGAGTAAAAATGGGTTGTTTAGGAATTTTCAGGTGTGGTCTGTAGTTATGTTATTTGCATTGTATTAAGTACTCTTTTGTTCACAGTGCCCCATACATCTGCTTAATGGAATATTTAATGGTGTTCCAAATAAGTTTGTGCTTCATTAAAGCTTTAATTATTTTTTTAAATTACACTAATTTTTGTATTACGCTAAGGAATATTAGGCTATAACTAGTTACCTTAATTTAAAAGTTTTGCAAATCGAATGGAGTCTTGCATTCCTACAGAAGTTATAACCAAGGACTGTGACAGAACAAGGACAAACCTAAAATCTATTACTTGAAATATGTAAGTTGATATTTTGAAATGTATTTTAAAGGTTTCAGTGGGGAAGAAAATAGTGTTATATAGGTTGGTTTTGAAGATCTGTTTAAACAAGTTGACTTTCTGTATATACTCCCCTAACAAAACCTAGCACGTTGAAAATATTAGTTATAGCTATTTGGCACTGTCCTGCTTTACATTGTAATTTGACTGCCTGGTCTTTTCGAAACCTGCTTGCAACGCAGCATATTTTGTAGGCAGATGCTACACAAATACGTAATAGCACAACAAAGGACCTACTTTATGCGAATTTGTCATTATAATTTCTAAAATGAGAGGATGCACACTGGGGGCTGGTTAAGCATATATACAAATTTACTCAATTTTCTCCTTTTCCGTGTAGGTTATGTAGGTCAGCAGAATCAGGAGAAAAAGTCTTATTCATGCAGCACAAGATGTTCACCATTTTACTAAGGAATGATACATTAGCAGCAGGGTTGATGGTATTCAGTTTTTCACTTTGCCGTTAAAAGAAATATTGCAAAGAGAAGGTCATCTTAAGTGATTGCTCAAGGGGTATTTAAGTTCAAAGGTACAGACTAATACACACTCGTTATTATACTTGAGCCAATTTGTAAAGCAAGTAACCCTTTTTATGTTTTCCAATGCATGCGCTTGCGTCATAAAGCATCATGGAGTGAGGGTATTTTGTTCTCATTCTTTAGTAGAGGGACAAGTGCAGTTTGGACCTCAACTTGTGTGTAGGCATGGTACAGTGGTATATATAGAAGTCTCCATCTTGCTTGACTTTTGAGTCCTACAGATAACTATCTATTTACTTAATTACATTAAAAAATGCTGACGACTGGCATTTTGTGTTTACACCTGGTGCTTAATTAGGTAAGCGTTGCAGATAATAAATGGATTCTATTATTTGCGGATTTACGTCTTTACTTTTTTTCAAATCTAATTGCTTGAATCTGAGCAAGTCTTGGAACTCCTTGTTGGCTGCTGCTGGTATGTACTGTATTGGATACCTGGAGCCCGTTCAAACACCTGCCTGCTCTTAAGGTTATTTCAGTCAGTTATTTCAGTTACTCTTCAACCAATACCAGCTCCCTTCCAGATGTGGGATTTGGAGCATGAAAGCAATAATCGGCATGATGTTTTACAGATCTGATTAATAGTTTCAGGCGAGAGGCAGTAAAAGTCGAGAGCTCTTTGTACTCTTTAATTGTCAGTGGTCATGATTCACCGTTCCGTTGTCATTTATTTTATTTTGTTGGTTTTCTGCCTCCCCCCCCCCCCCCCCCCAAGCAGATGGCCCCCTGGCACGGTCGATTCATCACCAGACGTCTGCCTCGTGCCCCCACTCTCACGGGAACCCCCCTCCCCCGCCGCAGCCCCCTCCGCAGCCCGACTACGTCATCCCGCACCCCGTACACCCCTTCCACCCGCCGCTCCCCTCCCACGCGCCGGGTCACGGAGTGGCCCCCGCCCCGCCACCCAGCCTGCCCTCCCACCACCTGCCCAGCTCCGCCGCGCCGCTGCCCCAGCACCTGCCCCCGGAGCACCAGTCCCTGTCGCACCACATCTCCACGCTGGGGCCCTCCGTCCAGAGGCTGCACCCGCAGCACGAGATGCTGCAGAGGTTGGAAGCCCAGCGGCGGAGGATGATGCAGCACCCGACGTAAGTTCTTCTTCCGCCTCTGCCGCCAGAGTTCGCCTTTTTAATACAGGAAGCTCATTTCTCCACAGGCCCCAGCTCGGGGCCTGCAAAACCTTCCCTTGTCACTATACGCTGAAATACAGACTACCAAAAATACATGACAATCAGGGTGCTTCATATTCCCTTAAAGTACTAAAACCCCAAGTGAGGTCTGAGCGAATTGCAGCAGTTGCGTGATTTCTTCATTTCCTGATCATGAGCATTAGGGAGGCAGTCGTTAAACTGGTATAAGGCTTGCCTAGTAGTATAGCCTTGGCAGTTCTGCTGCCCTGTGTTTTACTGCTTTTTAAAACGCAAATCCAATTTGTTCCCGGTCCAGGCGAGCACACGAGCGTCCGCCTCCTCACCCCCACAGAATGCACCCCAACTACGGGCACGGACACCACATCCACGTTCCACAGACGATGTCCACGCACCCGCGGCAGCCAGACCAGAGGGCTGCGTGGTAAGTACCGTCTCGATTCCACCGCCTCTTCTCGCCAACGTCCTCGGTTGGAAAAACAAAAGATGCCGAGGTTCGTTGTTCCAGCCCGCAGCAGTTTTTGTGTAGTCCACGGTTTGCTTTCAGTAGTTCTTAGTGCCTGGTATTAATGATGTGATGTTTTTGGTGATTTATTTTTTGGAAGGTTGCATACAAAATTACCCGTTCTCCTTTTCAACGTGGCCCGCAACAGCAGGGCTGCAATGCTCATGTTGTAGACTAATGTTGAAGCAGTCACAGAAGGGTGGGACCGGGGGGGTTTAATCCTAGCAAGTTGTATCCCATTATAAGGCGCTGGAACCGTCTTCTGATGTATGCTGCAAACCAGAGCCAACACTGTCTGACCCTTGTGGTTCTCACTGTTTTCTGCTGCAGGGAGCTGGGAATTGAAGCAGGAGTGACGGTAGCCCCGTACCCCCCAGGACATTTGCACCCACACTTGCCTCACTATCACCCTCCTCCCAGGCTCCACCATTTCCCTATTGTTCCTTTCATGGTGAGTTCCAGGCTGGGCATTTGCACTACGATGTTTCCATCTGCCTTTTGTGCAGTTCTTGGAGGAGTATTGGTTTTGCTGTTGATCAAATCAATCATTTACTTCAAACTCTGGTTTGTAAAAAAGAAAATAATGGTCAAATATGCTGTGCAGCTGATAAAACTTGTAGTTGAGGTAGCAGCTTGTGAGCTGACAGTTTTGTTCAGTTTTTTTTAATTAAATGTAATCATTTCACCTTTTTTGCAGCACACCGGCATGTCTGAAGTGACCTATCCACACATTCGGTATATTTCTTCCAGAATGACAGGATTTGGACGAACATATGAAGTGAGTATGTTTAAGTTGTATTTAATATGCTGTAATGCAAGCATGATGCATGAATGTTTTCAATCTTAATAATGAAAAGTGAAGCAAGAGACTCTAGTTACCCAAAGACATCACAGGTATTCCCTCATTGTTCTCTGGTTTACTTTATAGATTCCTGTGAGTGCTTTCTGACAATTGGTCAATTGTGCTGTTAGGCGTCTGTGTCGTTTGCCTGCTGAAGCTTGGACTAGATTAAAACCATTATCTCCTGGCTTTGTGATTCAGGAGGAGTGCTGGAATGCTCCCTGCAGTGTTGCTTCCCAGATCTTTCTACATATTTAGTACATTTAAAAGTTCATCATTTTTGCTGAATGCTGTCTCTGCTTGTCTGTCTCACACCTGCCTTTGTTTCCCACAGGACTTGCTGCATTTAGAAGAGCGGTTAGGAAACGTCAATCGGGGCGCCTCCCAGGGGACAATTGAGAGGTGCACTTACCCACATAAATACAAAAAGGTGAGAACTGCAGGGGAGCCATTTGGCACCCAGGCCCTGGAAACACAAACCTTATGTTATAGTGAGCTGACCACTTGGCTTTAGGTAGTTTGCGTAAGATGGCACTTAGTTTTTTCATGTAGGAACTCATTTGTTGTTCACACTGCTGGTTTTGCACTGATCAGGGTCAGGGTTTGGCCCTGTTTGCTAGTTTAAAGTCAGCCGGAGCACGCGCACTGCACCCTCATTTTTATTTTTGAGAGGGATTTTTGAAGGTTTTGGGGTAGTTATCCCTGCATGTCTCTTGTGAATTCTTGGGGACTTGATGGGTGTTTTGTTTAGAAAATGGCTCACACTAAGACTCTGTGAAGGCAGTGGTAAAGCGTGATGCTGAAGGTGCTCGATGTTTTCTTCTCGGCAGAGAAAGCTGCACGGTAAACATGACGACGACGAGGGAGCTGAAGAGGACACCGAAGAGAAATGTACCATCTGTCTTTCTATACTGGAGGAAGGAGAAGACGTCAGGTGAGTGCCACAGCTTCAACAAGCCCTGTTTCTCAGCAGCTTGCAGCCTGTCCTTCTGTGTGTAGCCAATACCTAGAGGCTTTAAAGGATTCTTTAAAACCGGAAGTTTGTAGATGTGCAAAAAGGGTGTTACAGTGCTCATAACTGGGATATTGCATGTTCTTTCCACCGTTAGTGTGCAGAAGCTGGAACTAATCGATTGTGTAGTGACAAAATGTCTGCGATGCACTTGCCAGGGAGTAATTGATTTTCCGAACACTGTTAATCTAATATTGCTTGAAATGTTAGCAGCATATAAAAACACAACAAATGCAGTTTTGTCCCAGCGTTCATTTGTTGCACTTTTAATGCCTCTTAGCGTAGAGAAAAGAAACACTGAGAATCTGCAAGTGACATCAGTACCAGATTGGTAGTGATTGCTCATTACAGTTTTCCTTCCCACTGTTCCTGTGCACGTCCTTCTGCCCCCTGGTGTATTAGTGTGAAATTACACCTTGTATTTCAGCATAGGTTTTTCCTTTAGATGGGGCTCTCATTGTACCCTATTATGAAATACTATTTAAGGCTATGCATTCCAGGATACATTTTAATTTTCCCAATGAGATTTTCTTCCTGTCCATTTGTGGAGAAATTATCAGTGTACCCATAGGGTGATTGGGGACCTATATGGTCAGATGCTGTTGTGGGACTGCACTTCTCATGCGCTTGCTTTCTTCTTGTTCTTTCAGACGTCTTCCCTGTATGCATCTTTTCCACCAACTGTGTGTTGACCAGTGGCTCACCACTAACAAGAAATGTCCAATCTGCAGAGTGGATATAGAGGCCCAGCTGTCTGCTGAAAGTTGATGCTGTTTTTCAATTACTTTTTATTTTATCTTTTTTATTTTGTTTTTCTTCAGTACTGCAGTCAACCAAAGATGGCATGAATTACCTGCGTGGGTTCAAATACAAAACAGCATTGAAACCTAGAGTGCCAGCTATGTCCCATAGTACAGATACTGCTAAAAATACATCTTCAGTATAGATTTTAAATTTTATTGTATTTATGAAGCTTTTTTTGTAGCTTTCAATTGTTTTCTTCAGTGTCATTTTATTTTTGCATGGTTCCTTGTAATGCATTTCTTTGCACATGTAATGAAATGGGCTTCACACCCTAAAGACTTGCAGGCAAGAATAGCTGCTCTAGTAAAGTAGCATTTAATTTGATTTTGTTTTGTTTTTTTACACAATGCCTTGCTTTACTGGAATAGAATGTCATTCTCCATTACTAACATTGCAGGATTAATTTAACTGATCATGATATAATTAGTTTATGTATAGAAATTGTGAACAGCTAGTAAAGGAAAAAATGTAAAGCAAAACATTCCTTAATTAGGGAAAAACAAACAGCTGCTGTATAAAAGTCTGTGTACAACATCATGCGGTGTCCATCTAGTGGGAACAATCTGAAAATGCGTCACTTATAATTAGGAAATGCATACAGAAGCCTTTTCCTTTCTTCGCTCACCTTTCAATGTTCACCTTCTGCACTTCCTTATTGCATTGGAGAAAAATGAATGTCACTGTATTTTGACTGTTTTTTTCACAGTTAGACCTTTTAAGGCACGTCGTAAACAGTTTTACACACAGTGAAGTGCCCTGTTGAGTGGCGAGGTTGGCCATTGCCAGCAGATTGTACACTTCTGTTTGTATTCACAAGTCTGAATGGACGGACCTTGGGAATTGGCGTTTTGACTTCAAATGTGAAAGGGGTCTGTTGAGCCAGTTTTCCACAGACTGGTGATAAATTGTTAAATGGAACCCTAGTTTGGCCTGTCTCATTCATCTGTCTGTCTGTGTTGGGGGCGGGGGGGGTGGACAAACTGAGCGACACAGCTCCATGGAACGCAGCAGGCCAACAGAGATTGTATTTTTTTAACTGGGTTATTGTTGATTTTTACTTCATCTCTGTAACATTGCAACAAATTCCTTTGCTGCCATGAAGAACTTAACACTAATGGTTTTCCTCAACTAGCTAAATTGCATATACTTGCACATCAATGGTGAAAGACATAAGACAGGAGTCCTGTGAAAGCAAAGTGTCTAGGTAATGTATTTCCGCTCTGATTGCTGAATTTTGAAAATTGTAACATTTTGAATGGAGTGTTGGAATGCAGTACTAATGGCAGGTATCCATGCATTCATAGACTATAATGGCCCTAGGAAGCATTTCCGAGGGATTTATATTAGTTTTAAAAAAATAAAGTTAGGTAACTCTTTCCCCTCTTGTCTTTGTGTCTCTTCAACAATGTTTTGTTCAGTATTTTATACATATTCTGAAACCATACAATCTGAACAACAGGGGAGTCGCACACTGTATTGTACAGGCGCTTGGGCCTTGAAACATGCTGGCTTACAGTCTTTCAGTAGTTTCAATGATGTATGTTTTGTGGGCAAATCTAACATGAATACAATAAATGGTTATTTCAGATGAAACTGTAATTGAGGAAAAAGGTTTTGCAGTTCTAATGTTTTTAAATGTTTCCATTATGCTAATGTGGAGTAAATGGAGTATAGAAACCTTTTTGAATTATCTACACCATTTCATTTTTTGAAGAAATTTGCTCAATCTGGATTACACCTATTTATATAATTTCCAACAGTGCTAATATGATATATAATGGTTATATACTTATAGGTTTTTTGTGGTTTTATGTCCCTTGCCTACTTATTGAAGGTTAAATTCAGTGTTTTCAAGTGGTTCTAATAAGCCCTTGTTTTGCAGATTATCTGTGCTTTGTGTAATAAAGAACTAGGTGGAAAAGGAAACAAGATGCAAATCATATTGTTCTCCCACATTTTGTTAGAGAATATGTTAATCAAAAGCTACTGAAGATACAAATTTGGAATATGAGGCTATCCTATATTGTATCTTATATGCATCCTATACCATGCAAATACCTCAACTGAAGAGCTAATGTACGAAGCACAATGTCATTATTTAGTATTTTGTACTGCTAAAGAGGTTCTTGATTATCTTAAAATGGTAGAAATGTGAATGAATGTACCAATACTAAAGTAGGTGCATAAGAGGTATAGGTCTGTATTGATAATTTTATAGCACTTTTTTTACAGGTTAGTTTTTAAGTAGAAAACAAACTCATTTTTCTAAATTAAAAGTAAAAAAAAAACATTTAAATATCTTGTAAGAGCTCTTACCATCCTGAAAGATTTGTAACTTTTAATATCTTCAGTAAATTGCTTCATTTAATGACCAACCCTGGTACTTGAGAGCTACAGGATGTTGGCACTTTCATTTCAAGTGATCTGTGAGCATACTTAACTGAGCAAATACAGTGCCCTCAAAATCGTGATCAAAAGGAATTGTTCAGCCCCAAGTGCTTGGAAATCAAGGAGTGCCTGTTCTGAAAAAACTTGTATTCTGGCACTCCAGGACCAGGGTTGGCCACTTTATATATAGTGGTTAGTGTAGCTGGATCTAAATTGTGGTTATACATGACCAAATTATGAACAATGTGAGTTGCTATGTTGCAGAAGATATGGTTGCTGTTGGATCCAGCTAAAGAAACTAAACCAGTTTAAATCGCACAGCCGAAGAAGGCTCCACAGCCGAAACATTGTTCTGCTTTTCTTCTCTTTTAAACTGCAAGGGAACAAGTAGAAGATTATTCCATGCTGAAATTCTGGCCTTAAAGAACGGACCAGTGCTGCAATGCTATAGAAAAACTAAATCTGGAGGAAACTATTACCGGAAAGAAGAAGTAAAATCATGAGAGGGAGTAGTAAAAGTCAGACAGTGTAGGATAAAATAGGGAAATGCAGAACTGAGGTTAGAGGACATTGTTAAAAGATTTTTTAAATTCAGAGAATAATCCTATGCTGCTGAACCAGATTGTCCAGGATGCTTCGAGCGAAAGCTAGAGGAGATAGAGCCAATAAGTAGTAACTAAACAAGCATTACTACAAAGGAGGGAATCCATTCTCCCATGTTTTTCTGCCATTACAGAGGTCTTCTGTTCAAACTATCCTAGAGCGTAAGAAGGTTCAAAGCAGAAGAAGGACTTTCAGCCCACCTACTCATTTGGTAGTGATCTGAGGATCTTTTCTAGCCACTGCCTGAAGAAAGCCAGTTCATGCAATATGGCTTGATAACTTGTTGTGGACTCAAAGCTGTAAAAGTGTCTTGTTCTTCATTTTAAATGCACTTCTGTGTATTTAAAACCTAATACATGTTTGCTCTGGTTTATGATTCCCTGGAGGTTCTGAAGCCCTGTGTTGAGTTAATGACATTCCCTACCTCTAAGGATTATAAATGAGTCAGCTTTCCTCAGTCTTTTCTATTAACAACAGCATGTTAGTAACTCATTGCTCCGAATTTCACAGATAATACTGAGTCTGTGGCATGCCCAGGATTTGATCCAGGAATTTACCTGCTCACAAACTCTTGACCTTAGCAACTGGGTCGCTTTGCCCACACATTATACCTAATAATCTTCTAAGAATTCCTATAGAATTAAGAATTGGACATAACTAGTATGAAAAGTAACTATATATACTTGGGCTATATTCAAATACTTGTGTGAAACAACTGACCCTGTATAAAAAGAGAAGATGCACTTCTGAGGCCTGTGTTTGGGTCCTTATTCTTATACTCTTTCCTAAGCATTTCTCTAATCCATTTGACACCTTTTTATTTATATCGCCAACTAGTTGATGATAGTATTGCTTCTGCAATAGTGATAAATCTACACATTTCCCCATGATACAGTTTATAGGAATGAGTTCACATAAGAGGAGGTGGGGTAGTTAACATACTTCACAGCAAATTGTCAAATTCTAGTTCTGCTTTAATAAGAAAAGCCAAATTCATTGCCCCATGTATTTAAGGGACAATATGGAGAACGATCTATCCCTTTAATTTTACACGCACTGAGATTTAACTGGCCTGAAGCAAAGTTTTGACTCTTAAAGGCAGGTCATTCTCAGGTGTTACAATAATTTAAAAGTGGTTGGGAACTGCAGCCAGACAGTGCCGTAATGTGAAAAAAAACATTATCGTCCATCCATTTTTCACTGTAATTGTTGTTGGTGTGAAACTTAAACATGTAATGTATGCTTTTTCCATCTGTTCGTTTGTATGTCTTTTGCCAATAAATCCAACATGTATCACTCATTTGGTTATAAGGGTCAGTGCCTGAATCTCAGATCAGTCAAAAGCACCTTTAATATATTGCCATTGCATTGCCAGCTGCCATGTCACCCTGCAACTCACAACTAGCAGCCCACTGGAGCTCAGCAGATGTGAGCCTGGCCAGTACCTGGATGGGAGACCTCCTGGGAAAAAGCTAAGGTGTTAGTGGGGCCACGAGAGGGCGCTCACTCTGTGATCTATGTGGGTCCTAATGCCCCAGTATAGCGGTGCCGTCCTTCGGATGAGACGTAAAACTGAGGTCCTTACTCTCCGTGGTCGTTAAAAATCCCAGGGTGTTTCTCAAAAACGGTAGGGGTGTAACCCTGGCATCCTGACCCTTAATATAACACATTATAATGTATAATATAATAATTAATAACATATTGGCGCTTACCGATCATGGCCTCCTAATAAACCCCATCTATGAATTGGCTTCATCACTCTGTTCTCCTCCCCACTGATAGCTGATGTGTGGTGAGTGTACTGGTGCACTATGGCTGCCATTGCATCATCTTAGTGGGGCTACACATTGGTGGTGGAGAAGGGGAGTTCCCATTACCTGTAAAGCGATTTGAGTGAAGTGTCCAGAAAAGCACTATATAAGTGTAAGCAATTATTATTATTGACCATTGACATGACAGCAGTGTTTTATAATATTGGCTTATGAGACCCATCCGTGGCTCCCTACTACACCTCTTACCTTCACCTCAATACTAATAATAGATAGATACTTTATTGATCCTGTGAGGGAAATTGCAGAATAATAAAATAAATATTATCGATCTGTATAGACGACTGGCGAAATCAACTAAAATCCATCACAGACTGGAACAGCAACCAGAACTCTGCGCCTAGTAAAACGAAACGGACCAAGAAGGCTCTACAGACTACTCGGACACAAGAGGACGAGTAGAGGAACCAGAATACATTACACGAACACTTCCAGAAAACAAGATGTAACAGGGTAGAGGTAATTGTACATAATATAGATGAGTAATTGGGTGATAGACGTAGTGATTATTTCCATATCCCTTTTTGTTTGCTAAAAAAGAGGCGATTTGCGGAAATCACTCATTGGTTTAATATTTAATATCTTGGTAACACGCATACACATCAATATAAAATTTCGTATATTGTTATCAGGCTACCCAAGAAAAAAAACATCAATTCCCAGAGTGCATTGTGAACTCAATGCTAAACTCCGGGCACAAAAGTTGGCGCATGCTTGATTTTCTATTTTACTTTTACTTAAACGGGGGGGTACTGGTGAATAAAACGGCTGATACATCATAAAACAAAAAAGGAATCATCTGATTTAATTGCGGAGAATATGTTAGGAACATAAACAATTCATTTTTTGGTTGCCGCGGTAACGCATTCAGGCCCCTCGTTTGCCAGCCAATAGAAACCATCCGCCTCGTGAGCTCCTGCCCAATGGGAGCGCGCGGAGCGGTATTTGAATGGTGAAGTGGTGCCCAGTCTACAAGCGCAGTGGCGAGTGGAGTGTTTGTGGTGTACATTTGTTGGTCGTCGGCTGTAGCTTCTTTTTAAAGGCTCTTTTATTTAACGTTTTTCTTCAGAATGGCTTTGGTAAACCGGGGAATTGTAAGTACAATTTATTAGTTCTTTCAGCATTCCACGTTTTCCGGAGAGCCTAGGTCAGCAGCTTGTAATGTCCTTCTTCGTGAAGGAGAAGAAATGAAGCTCTTATCTGTAATATGCAATTAGCCAGCAGTTTAGTTGTCTTGCAGCTTAACTATTAAATGTAAAACTGAAATTGTAACGTACTCATTTTCAGAGGTTTGAGACATAACCCTTATCTAATTAGTTTAGGTTACCTTTAGCGTCGCCTCCGTGCTTTTGTGCGGTGCTGAGTTCTCTACTCCCGGGTTCTGACTTGCTTTTCTTTACGAGCAGCATATCAGGAATGCCGAAAACGCGGTCCCAGTGGGTAAAACTGCAGCTGGGACGAAACGGCCAGTCCTAGGCGAGATCTCCAACTTCTCTACCAGGGGAGGCCCAGTCAAGGTACTGTTGTAGCTGCGCTTTTGGGTTCTGAGCTGGGATCTGTATTTGCCGGAGCGAGTTCAAAACATATTGTAACGCTTACGGCCGACAGGCGCTGTGTAAGAGCAGATGTCACCGCCCTTCCCTGTGATGGCAGGACCACAGCTACTGGGCTGTGGGGAGATCTCTTTAGCTCACGGGGCTGGGTCGCTGCAGAGAGACGCAGGAGTCCCGGTTTCGAGCCTCAGTCGGGATGGGGCCGGCCTAATGCGGCAAGGGCGCCCACCTGAGCCCCCGTTGCGTTACAATATTCACCCCTTCTTCCGAGTGAATTGAAGCTGGGGTGGCCGTTGTCTGGCGGTTTCATCTAGTGTTTAGTTTTAATATGCACCCCTTGATATACAGCTGGGTATCTCAATGGAACAACTCTGAATTATTTCCCCTAAGGGTATAGAAGCAGTATCTTGTGTATCTGTGCCCTATCCACTGCTGCCCAGTGCTTCTTCCACAGTGTTGTGAGTGTTTGCTCAAGACAGGGGTGCACAGCTGTAGTCCTGAAGGGCCAGATGGCTCAAATGGAAGTGTGTGGGGGGATGTCAGGGCTTGACGACACTGCTACATGCAGAGAGTGGCGGGGGGGGGGGGAGGACTCTGTTTAGGTTGGTGCTTTGCCAATTTAGAGCCTTAAGTGTGCTGGGCAGGAGTTGTGATTATTTGGGCTAGATGGGGGTGGGGCAACTGGTTTACTTTTGTTTTGGTGTCGCATTAGGTACCATGAAAATACTCTTGTATTATTGAGCATTGTTATGTTGCTGGTTTTGAAGAGTGCTTTGTTCCAAACCCTCCTTTCTATGAACTGTAGAAAAATGACACCCTGAAGTCCCATGTGGTCAAGCAGTCAAAGCCAGTGAAGCCTAAGCAGCAGGATGAAGTGACTGTGCAGCCCAAACCAGGTCCAGTGGTGCCTGAAGTCCCAGTAAGTGACAGGGTTGTTTAATGTCTTGTGTCACAGAAATGACTGCATTGTACCTTTTACAAGCATCTAGTCCCTTATGGCTACAGGTGGATTAGAAGTGCTGCAAGCTTCTGTTGGGGAAGCTTTTTTTTTTTTTTAAGTGAGTCCACAAACCTGAACCATTGGTATGATTGCAAAACATCCACAGTTGGGGGAGGAATTGACTGAGTGTCACAGGCTACCAATGTGTATGTATTGTAAGCAATACAAGATGTACACAGTTCTCTCTATGATCGAGTGTGATTCACTTGGGCTGATCTGCCAATTTTCCTGAAGAGCTTTGACATGCACTTGCCTGCACTCTGGTGCACAAGGCATATCCCCTGGCATCCTGCCCTTGCAGGAACTGTTGCATGGGTACAAGCCCTGCTGGGTCAGGATATACCTGCATGTAGACCATTGCTGTTTGTCATGAATGGTGAAGTTTTGTAGTGTCTAGTAAATGGTACTAGAAACTCCCTAATAGGAGTTCAAAGTGCCTCATTATTTTGAAACTGGGGGGGGGGGATTCTTCAGACAACTCTGTAGTTCTAAGATCAAATATAGCCACTGTGCTGGCTCTGCCTGCTCTTCTTACTGAAAGACTTGCATAGTGCGCTGATGACTGGCTTTAAATAACACACCTTCAGGTTGTTCCTTCTTGCATGGACGTCTCGATGAAAGAGGAAGAGCTGTGCCAGGCTTTTTCTGAGGCTATGTTGGATATAGAAGACATTGATGCCTTGGATGGTGAACATCCCCAGCTGTGTTCTGAATACGTGAAGGACATCTATGTGTACTTAAAGCAAATTGAGGTAAAAATTATAACCTTGTTAATCCTGATTCACAAATTTATTACTGCTGCTTGTTGGCTATTCATCTCATTTTCTTGCTGGATCTGAGAAACTAAGCATGACTGGGCCTTCAGGGAAACTGTGCTTCAGTGACTGGGCATCCTGTATCTAAAGGACCCACAAGTGCCTTTATAAGTTAATCTTTCCTTTTTTTTCTTTACTGCAGCTCCAGCAGGCTATCCGCCCCAGGTATCTTGAGGGCTGTGAGATTAATGAAAGAATGCGGGCCCTCTTGGTTGACTGGCTCATTCAGGTGCACTGCAGGTTTCACCTGCTGCAGGAGACTCTGTACATGACTGTTGCTATTCTTGACCGATTTCTCCAAGTAAGCAGCTTTTTTTTGCTAAGATGGTCAGCCCTTCTAAATTCTAATGTGTTGAGTGAGTATCCTCAAATGTAACCCTTTGGTTTTTTTTCCCCTAAAGGTACAACCTGTCTCCAGGAAAAAGCTTCAGCTGGTTGGCGTTACTGCTATGTTAATTGCTGCCAAGTATGAAGAAATGTACGCCCCAGAGATTGGGGACTTTGTCTACATCACGGATAATGCTTTTTCTAAAGCACAGATCCGGCAAATGGAAATGCTGATCCTGAAAGAGCTGAATTTTGAACTGGGTCGTCCTCTGCCCCTTCACTTCCTAAGGAGGGCATCAAAGGCTGGCAATGTAATTACCTTCCACTTGGCCCTGAAATGCACAAACCTCCTCGGTGCAATGCGTTTCTTCTTTGGCTGTATTTCTCCCTCCTAGTGTGTAACTGCTTTGTCATTTCCAAGGCTGATGCAGAGAAACACACTCTTGCCAAGTACTTCATGGAGCTGACCCTGATGGATTATGACATGGTGCATTACCACCCTTCTGAAGTGGCAGCTGCTGCACTCTTCCTCTCCCAGACTGTGCTGGATGGTAGTAGTTGGGTATGTTTTTGTTAATCTTTTGTATTCGCACTACTATAATATTGGAAATGAAGGTTACTTCCACAAACCCCGAGTGATGTAAGTGCTAGAGTGTGAGATCCTTTCCAATGTACATGCTCTGCTTAATCTGTAAAGCAGATATGCAGTGACAAAACTGCATGTTTGATCCTCTGTCACTAACTATGAATGGCTTGTATACACTTCTGGATTCTTGGCAATGCTTAAGAGCGGCAGGTATCTCTTCCAGACCACAACGCAGCGCCATTATGCTGGTTATTCCGAAGAGAATCTCAAGACCATTATGCAGCACCTTGCCAAGAATGTGGTGAGGCTTAACAATGGGCTTACCAAGCACACTGTAAGTTCTGTCCTATCCTTGTCACAAACTAGGATTCTAATGTACTTTCCACTTCATGCTATTGTTACCGTAGACCTAAACTAAGTACATTGTGGGCTTGATACCCGAGGATCTGAACTCCTCCCTGAGCTGGGTTTCTTCTTTCCTGTACAGGCGATCAAGAACAAATATGCCAGCAGCAAGCTGCTAAGGATAAGCACCATTCCACAGCTCCGGTCCTCCACCATCCAGGACATGGCTGCACCCCTGTTGGAGAATTCTTAATACTACTTGTCTTATGGACTTCTGAACTTGTTGCACTTTTTTTAAACTCCAACCTGTGGAAGATTTGTGCTGCTTCAATCTTTAACTTTTTTTTTTTCCCTACAGGATTTTTAAATTTTATAAGTCGATTTGACTCCCTGCTGTTCCCACCTACCATTTTAGCTTAGGAAATTTTAATCTAGTCTCCTTGAGATGGTTTATTTAATACTTTTATTTAAGCCTTGAATTGGTGTCCTGATGCTTTGAGTGTGGCCTGTGCCTCCTCTTTTCTTTGTCTCCATGAAACAACTTCAGAACCTTAAGGTTAAGCTACAGTGAGGGGAGGAAAATTGGTTAGTCTTGCTCATCTGGTAGCTTCTTTTTTTTTGGGGGGGGGGAGGAGGGAGGTTAACATTGAGACTAGACTGGTCAGTTTTTCAACAGCCTGCTACTTTCCCTCTAGTGGAGCTAGGACTTGATTTCAATTTTGTAAACTTGTATTTTTAATAAAGTGTTAATATAAATGTCAATCTCTTGTTATGTGGTAATTATAGTGATTTTCAATAGACATGTTTGCTTTTTTTTTTATTGGCATTCCACAAATGTTACAAACCAGTCAGTGGAATTTATTGGTTTTATTCCTGATTTCACCAGGTGCAGAGTGATCCTGCACAAGGGTGAAGCACCACCTTTTAGCCAAAGGAGTAATTGAGTACCAACTTCATTTTCACCAACAAAGCAAAGTTATCAAGAATTGCAGATGAGTACAATACATTCATATACATATCTAGTATTAAAGCAAACTGATTTAAAATGTACATGTAAAAAGACCTAGTTATTTACATATTAGGCATAAGTAATATGGGCCAGCCATATTAAAGAAACTCAAAAGGCACTTCTGGCACCATTGTGGGCTTCGAGCAGGGTTGCACGGTCATTCTAAAACATCTGCACCATTTGGCAGCTTAGTCTTGGAAGATGTTATCCCAACTTAATGCCACAGGCATTTGCCATCCTTGTAAACCAGTGGTCAAAAGCTGTAAAGATGGATTTACCTGGCCCTTCTTGCCTCTTATGAGAGAGGAATTGGAGACCCTAGTGTGTGTCTATACTTGGTATTTATGAGTGGATATTGCAATACCCTTCTAGTTGGTAATGGGGTTACTGAGCTTGAGTAGATTTTATATATTGCTTGATGTGCACCTTGGTCTAAACTAGCCAAAGATCTGATGCTCTTGAATGGTTAATGCATGAACCCTTTGAACAGGATTTAACTCGAAGACACCACAGCCTTGTTGGTTGGTCTCTAGCGTAGCTAAAACTGAATTGAGGTGTAATGGTATAACAAGGCCTGCAAGAAGGCACTTATAGCACAAGGCTGATGTACAAAGTCCTCAAATGTACCTCCTAACTTTTAAAAGTCCAGAGTTAGGCTGCAATTTCACACCAATTGACTTACAGCTTTGATTTACAAACTCATCAGTGAGTTTATAACTGCCTGAACTCCCAAGCAGGGAAAATGTAATGGTTAATGAGTGTCTGTTTTCTTATTACTGCTTAACAAAGGACAAGTGAGGGGAGGAACAGTGACATTCATGCTCTGCTGTCATCTGGAGATGATAGTGGTCTCTGGCTGAAACTACAGTCCCAGCTCAGCTGCATGATCTCTTCCCTCCCCAGCCGAAGGAAATACCCCCCCCCCCCCACTTCATTCCTCAAAGTGGACCAAGGAATAAAACACCAACAGAATTAAAAGGCCTGTATTAAATACACATTTTTCCCCCACTATCCTTCACATAAATGTTAAACTTTTACTTTTTTCAGACATGTCAACCAAAGCCAAGCCCTTTTTTGAATTACTCACATAATGCCCAACTGGACAATACTTTCCATACTATTAACACCACAACTGGTGTTTAACAGGCAGTGGCAGGTTGAATAAAGTGCTTTAACATAGACTGTGTAAAGTTGCTGTCCTGTTCCTCCTCTTAATGTGACAGGGGGTTGCTCCTTCCTAGCGCAGCCCATCCCACTACACTGTTATCATATGCCCCAGGGGCTGCTGGGAAAAAGCCACTCTTTGAACAGTAGGTGTCCCTGGCCATGGCTGGGAATGGGAAACCCCTGCCATATTGGTGAAGGAAGGCTTGCTGGAGATAGACGCAGCCTAGGGGGGCTTCTGCAGTGGATTATGGAGGAAGGAGAGGCGATATGTCTGCATCAGTTTGTTTCTGGGAAGGGCAAAACCCCTGTTTTAAAACTGACCAAAAGATTAGTTATTACAAGCTTGATGTCTCTTTTAATGACTAAAGTAATGTCATCAATCTTGATAAGGGCTGGTCTTCTAAAACATTTATTAATTTAACATGCTATTATTTCTGTGCACTTTACTGTTTGTCATACCTATTTATCATATGCGATTTTGTGAGATGGGTTTTTATATGTACAGTTCAAGTTTCATATCCTTTATTGGTTGTGTGCTACCCAGGGACTACCGATGTAGCTTGTTAGCCAACTGTGGTGTAGCTGAAGAGCTGTGCTCTGTCCTCAAACAGAACTAATATAGAAAGACTCTGCTGGAGCTACAGAAAGCTGGCTGCTTTCAGGACCTCTACGCCCCCTGCCTGTAAGGATTAGGCCAGTGTGATGTGCCCTACAGCACAGGTTACACCAGACCCACAGCAGAGCTTGTGAGCGAAATGCATGTTTCTTTTCCCCTGTATATGCACCTTAACATAGGTGCAATGTGACTCAGTCTTATCCTCACCTCAATTCAGGCAGGAGCAAGTGACCACAGCTAACAATCACCAACATTATGGTACAAGGGCTGGTAGAATATAGATCTACTCTTACTTTTGGATAGGCAATACTATTTATAAAAAAATCAGTTTAGCAGCAAATATTCCCTCTGACTTTACTTCTCCAAAAAAAAAAATGGACTGGGATAAAAACTAGACTTTAAAACAATTAGAACACAAAGAATTTAACCTGCATTCAGTGACTCGAAATAGGCACCTACCTCTCCAACAGTTACAAGAACCCCCTTAACAGTTAAAAAGATTGCTTGGTCCCAGATAACACGTGAACTTCATATTTTCAATAAAATAACTATAGATACCTTCATTATATTTGCAAAGGAAAAAAAACAAACAAAGAAAGCTATAAATACAATAAATAGTTTTGTTCAGTGCTCACATGGTTTGTGTAGCTATCATCAGCTGCAGAGGAAAATAATTTTAAAAAAACCATGGCCTCATTCAAGTCCCCAGATTGATATTGGTGGCTGGTCCATCACTAGGGTCACAGTATTTAACGGAGAAGACCGTGGCCGGTCTTCAGCTGCAGGGGCTCCCTGCTCGCGGCGCGGCTCTACAGCTTGCTGACGTAATTGTTGGGGAACAGGCCTTGCTTCCCTCGCAGTCTCCCCGTCCACCAGCCCGATGCGTCTGCTCGGAAAGACAGAGAGGAGTCAGTCCACACCTCTTCCCTGGGCTCGCACTGGCTGATCCGTGTCTGTGCAGCACGTAACGAAATACGTTACGGCAGCTTACCCTAGCAAACCAGTTCAGAACATCGGGAGGAAGAGGAGGGAAAATACGAGCAGGAAACCAATTTTTCCTTTTTACTGAAGCATGGGGCTATCACTGGTAACTCCCAAACCCAAACTGGAGCCGAGATACACAAGCACCACTGGGGTAGCTTACCCAGAATTCCCCCTCCTCTGGCATAGTGGAAAAATGACACATTGTGTGTTGGGGTCTTGTTGGCTCATTTGGGAATTGTTTCTTTTCCTCCAGAAAATAATCTAATCTTGGAATAATTCCTATGAGACGCGCTTCTCGTGCCGCAAATCCTATGAAGGTAGAGAGTAAGATGAATAACCTAGGATAGCTATATATTTAATAAGAGCTAGATTTTCAGGTCTCGATCTCTAGCTGCGAGGCTGCTCTGTCTTTCGAGCGCAACGCTAGTGTTTCAGGAAGGCAAGTCGATTACGCACCTTCTTTGACGATTTCAATGACGTCATCAGCATTGAAACTCAGTTCGTCTGTATCCTGGGCGTCGTAGGCATACAGCGCCTTGCACTGTGGCACCTGGGGCTTGGGCTTGGGCAGGGGCTTGGGCCTGCCTCCGCCGGGCATCGGCCTGCTGGTGGTCTGTCTGTGGGCGCTGATGGCACAGAGGAAGACAGAAAGGGGGCTCAGTGATGCCAGGCAAAACGGGGGCCTAAAGTTAGTGTTTAGCACTGAGGGAGAGCACAAGACGTCACAGCACGCCCTCTGAAATATTGCTCTGAATGTCTTACCAGCCTTCCTGAACATAAATCAGCCTTTCTATTAATAGTTTCCTTGGGTGTTTTCAGATGCTTTTTATTCAATGACAAATATGCAAATTAGCCACTCCGTTTCATCATTTTCAGGGTGTCTAAGGCAGGAGGATGCAGCTCACTGACCAATCCCATGTTCGAGCTCCCTAAACACAAGCTCACAGCTTCACTGAGGAATTAAGACGTGGGCTAGTTCACTTCGCAATACAGTGGAGTGGGTCTGTCTGCTTGGGCAGTAAAACGAAGAATAGGAGAATAACCTCATAAAAGGGCAGGGAGGACATTTCTGTAGACCAATTAAAGAATTCAGAGGAACACTGACAGTGCTCTTCACAAGCAGTTAGAAATTATGGTGACAGAGCTTTTGTGTTTTTTATCAATTTTCAAATGGTAAATTACAGACAAATTACTAGAGCTGGGGCAGCACAGCATATTGGGTAAGCCTTTGACCCATATCTGACCAGCTGTAGGTCTGGGTTCCTGCTGTAGATAATTCTATTGTACCGTTAAACAAGGGTTATCAGTTGCTCCAGTCCACTCAGCTATATAACTGGGAACCAGTTCTGTGGGGTTATCCCTGCTGTGGCTCTGATATTGACTTTACCTTTACCAGAGCCAGCAAAAAGCAAACTTTTGCACCCAGCCAAGACAGGTAATTACACTGTAAACACGAAGTTAAAAAAGCAAGGCTTGCTCTCTGCCTCCCTGATAGTTGTCAGCTGAATTGTAAACACATATTAAGAAATTCGGGTATATTTTTCATTGTGGGCACTACTTGTGAATTATCTGCTTGTTAACCAGAATCCAAAGTTTCATTCTGTTCCCTCTTTTCATTCTTTTTTTAACCCATTCTCCTTGTCTTGTCTTCGGCACATTTCAGGAGTTTGTTTAGACTTTTCCCCCATCTCCTCTTTCAGAACACTCTGGTTCTGCACAGCCCACTCCTTTTCAGTGTTTCTAAGCATGTCCGATTCCTTTTCTTGGCTTCTAGTAATGGCAGCTACACAACTGAATTGTGGGAAAGAGAACGGAATATTGGGATTCTTTAAACTGTCCTTGGACAGACTCTGGATTGGCAAGATCTTCCCTAGAATACAGTATAACAGCTTACAGATATGTCAGGGCTGCTCACCTGCTGTTCCCTCGTTCTGTATGAGGGAATGAGCACTCTTCTTTAACCTTTTAGGTGAATGCAAGCCCCAAAGGGCAATAACCAATATCGCAAAACAGGACATATTCAATAAAGGGATGAGCAGAAGCCAAGCATTTGGAAGAAAACACCCAAGGAAACAGATATCTAAGTTATTTTACTTTACAGAGGGATCTGTTTTGTTAACATGAACACAGTTTGAGAAGGTTAGTCAAAACGGATGATCAATACCAGTTAAGGGAGGCTTTTGCAGAGAATCTTTAGGCAGAACAAAATGAAATGTAAAAAGGTTGCGCATGTACAGCTACGCTAACTACCCAAGTAATGCTTTTCTGGTTCTTTTCTTAACCCACACCATTATCCTGTTAGAGACGCTGAGGTCAGCGGTTAGAACAGGAGCAGAATTAAGAACAAGTAACTCTCAAGTGCCTTCGTTCAACTGGTTTTATTGTAACGTTTGTTCTTTCAGAGGATGTTTGCCCTATTTGAGTGGAGAGTCACAGATACTATTCATTTTTAATAAATCCTACAGCAGTGCGCAGTTCACTTGTGCAGATTGGAAAAAAAAATCCAAAAATAATAATGAGAAACGTGGACATATTTACAGCAAAAAACTTAAATCTAACAAACTTCTGATATAATTTCTCAGCACTGTGACCCAAACCTGGCGTTCATGTTAGAGACGTTCTCAGAAGAGAACTGGATCTCTTTGTCAGTCTTCCCTGCTGTGTCTGAGGCTACCAAGCACACTGGCCTTATTTATTCAAACCCTTCTCCCGCAGTAATCCATACCAGAGTCGAGGTCAGGTAAAAATTGTGAGACGATGGAATAGAAATCACATTCATGGAAAATGTAAATATCTTTAAGGTCTAATCACATTCTTGCTGCAGTTCTTGCATACATATGTAACCAATACTTTAATATGTGATGTTTGTAATGAGGTCACTCAGAAGATTACATTTTTAAAAGGACAACTGAGTACAATGTGCCCTTTGTAAATTCTTAATACTCAGACTGGCTGCTGCCTTCTGCCAGTGCTTAACCGATCTCCGCTCAGTCTTTTCCTTTCACTTATAAATTGTTGCTTTTGTCTTGCTCCGTCCCTCCATGTACTACAATTCTCACCTTCTCTTTGGTTTGTATTGCCCAATCCTCTTTTCGTCACTCCGCACTGCTCCCTCCCTCCTCATACACATCTTTCTCTCTCGTTTCTCTCAGTTCTCTCTCTAAGCAACTGCACTGGTACTCATGACCAGCAGGCGGCGCTACAGTCCCATAAACCCAGTCAAGCACCAGAACGGAGAAATGAGAAGCTTCCAACACAAAAGAACTCTTCAGGATTGTGAAGGGGAAATGTAAGCTTATTCGTCAGACTCAAGACTCAAAAGTTTTCACTATAGGAATGTGACCATCACCCCCAAAAACAATTCTCTTCTACATTATCCAAGGCATTTTTTTTGTACTGAATGTTCGGCCATTTCTGTACAAGTAATTCAATAAAAATGCCGACTAGGTCTGCCTTGAAGGGCCTTCTCTTCAAGACAGACAGTACCACTACGTCGTGTGGGAGCCTGGTTTCAGGGGCAGGTCACGTCACAGAATCTGGAGAATATGTGAAGCTCTATACAAATCAGAAACACCCTCACAGAAAGCAGAAACGCCACCACATAGAAGTGCATGTCTAACTTATTGGAAGGCATTTGTCTCGTAGCTAAAGCACCACTAGGTAAGTTAACTCTGGTCCTTTTGTTGTTAGATTGCTTTAAAAAAAGTTAACAGCACAGCTCGCACTCATTTTCCGTCACCGTAGAAGCCTGTGGTCTGACCTAAGGAGATGCTTATGTTGACCAAAAAGAAGACAGTTCCTGTTCCGCCGAAGATGTTCCAGGATAAACCAATGTGAAGGAGACGAAAGGCTCTAAAAATAGGTCGGGAGGCTAGTTTTTAGAGGGCGTAAAACTTTAAATAACTGACAATTCAAAACAGTTCAGTGCAGTTTAGTACCATTTAAGTAATAGGAGCTAATCAGCTAAATAACATGCAATTGAATTAATTCAATGGATTAGTGTTTTCCAAAAATAAAAGTCTGATGGAAAAGATTTCAGTGATGGAAACTGTCTTCTTCAGATATGACAGGGGGGACTCGCGCTTAAAAATTGGGGGATGTCTTTTTTTCTTAGATTTATGTATGTTAACGTTCTTCAGAAGGGAAAGTGGTCCACTCTGATGAGCAGTTTACACACTAAAGCCTTCTTCATTTATCTTTCTTCGTCACCGGACCCTTGAATCAATTAGCTCTAAAAAGCACGAGGGGTAGATGAGCCCATCAGCAGGCTTCCCTGTGTTCTTAATGAGGCCTGGAAGGGCTAAGCATGGGTGTTAACTTTCTTCTTCTTTTACAAGGACCAGAGTTGACCCTAATTAGCAGGATGAGTAAACCTAGTTGCTGCGTCTCTACCAGCTGTTAGGCAGTTTAAAAACAACAAAATCAAAACTGCTAAGGGTGTGAGAGAAAGGAGGAAAAGAATTCCAACAGGCTGGGCGAAAACGGCAAAGACTGAGTCACAACCACCACCCGAGAGAAACATTGCGTTCGACTCACGTTCGTCCGCTCTCTGTGGGCAGCCTCTGCCGGTTACTAGAAAGGAACAGAGTCACGCACAGTTACAGTCGGTGGCCATCTTGGCGGACCTGGGGCCTTGTGTCTGTTAAACATCCGGTCCCAGTTCTCACAGGGCCAGCATTTCTACACAAGATCGCCCACTTGGGGGGCAGCAGCCTTGCCACACGGGTCAAAAAAATAAGGACAAAGCGAGAGAGCGTTACTGGGTCACGAATCCTCAAATAAAAATGGAGTTACGTGTGTGCCTTTGCGGACAGTTTCTGGCGTCTGTCGTGGGGTGAGAAAGAAACCAGTCCAGCTCGGTCACAAGCTTCGCAGCTACATCAGCAAACGCTGAGGGAGTCAACAATAAATAATGGAGCTGCTTTTCTTAAAAAAAAAACATTTAAGGAAGTTTACTGTCAAAACTTAAAAGATTCTGTAATTGACCTGATTGATGTCTGTGTTCACGGCAGTAGCAGGAATGCGAAGGTGGAGGGCACACATGACAGTGAACACAACCCCTGTGAGCCAGGGAGCATCGGGCTGCAGCGCTGCCCTGGTTACGGTTGCCCTGGAGACGGCGCGGTGCAGGTGACTCACCCCGCTGCGCCCTGGTCAGGCACCCTCAGGCAGTCCAGGTCGGGCTGCGGGGGCCGGCTGTTCCTCTGTTTCAGCTGGTGGAGGGTGACTGGCGGGGGCAGGAAGGTGGGGTGGTGGCTGGGGTGGTTCGTGGGGGCAGCCCTCTGGCTGACGTTGTTACCGGCTGACTTTATCACTCCGTTCTGGTGGGAAGCTGCAGATCAGGAAAAAGAAACGAGAGCTTGTAGGTCCAGCTGAGAACTTGGTTGAAGCCCCTGAGACGGGTTCCAAGGACTCAAATCCTCTTTCACTGGCCAGCTGACAACTGAGCAGGAAGTAAATAGGAAAGGCAAAGAATACTGAAATATGACAGAATATTAAAGCTCTCAAGGAGGAAACATAGCTTTAATTGATATAAATCCATCACATTTTGTCCTTTAATGTTTGCTGATGGGATGGCACAGTGGATAGCATTGCTGCCTCACAGCTGGGGCCCTGGGTTCAACTCTGGACATGGGCTGCTATCTGCGTGGAGTTTGCATGTTCTCCCCAGGTTCTTGTGGGTTTCCTCCCATATTCCAAAGACATACCGCTAGGTTAAAGGGGTTCTGGGAAAATTAGTCCTAGGTGTAAGTGTGTGTGCGACTATGTTTGTGTCTGTGTGTCTGCGTGTCTTCAGATGGACTGAAGTCCTGTCCAGGGTGTATCCTGCCTTGCACCTGTTGCTTGCTGGGATAAGCTCTGGCTCTCCCATGCCCCTGTATTGGATAAAGCCGTTCTAAAATGGATGGATGTTGGCTTATATTCACTGAAAAAAAAAGCATTAAACTTATTGACTTAAAAATGATAAATGATAAATTATGGATGAATAAAAAAAGGAGGAAATTCAAAAATTCAGCGAGTGACACTTTCCCTTTTCCTCTTCTGTTGCCTCTGACCTTTCTGACCTCAGCAGTGCAAAGCATCTCACCTGGGGGCCCAGGGGCAGCTCTGGTGGGGTAGCTCTGGGGCGCTCTGGAGACACTCCGGCTTTGTGAGAAATTCTTCCTGGTGGGACCTGGAAATGAAAAGAAAACACTGAAGGGGACAATGCCAAATCTGTCCGCCGGTCTTGGCAGAGTGTCACGCCAACGCCTACCTTGGCAACACTGAGGTTAGCAGCGCTTACTGAGCTGAGAGCCTGAGATTTGGAAAAGACAGGTTTGAAACCTGGAGTTACAAACAAATATGCCAATATGCAATTTCCTCCTAATACATAACCTGTCAATAAGATTCCTTTAAGGTGCCGATATTTTTAGCTTTAAGTGCTGTATGTATGGACACTGCATCCTTGATATTACAGAACTAATACTATGAAAGTGAAATAGAACTAAGGGTCTAATACTACTCTTGAAGTGTTGTTTCGTGAGGAGAACCTGGGCGCTGTATCTGAAGAACATGCTCCGCAGACTTACGTGTGTTCTTGGGGAGTCCGGGCCCGATGCTGACCTGCAGCATTTTGTTTGTGGGGTTGAGGACGGCCACGTCCCCCTGGCCCTGGACGAACTGCACCTGCCGAGTGCCCCCCGCGCTCCAGGGACCCCAACTCTCCTTCTTCAGCTTCATTTCAAGTCTGGACACAACAGCAGCCCGTCAAGAGAAGTTCATGCTCAGATTACGTAAGCGGGAGAGTAACTGAGCTCCACAGCACAGCCTGGTCCCTCTGACACCCTGTTATACTGCTATAGCGCCACTCCACCCCCTCTCGTCTTGACCACATCACCCCAAAAACCACAGAGGCCAATCTCTTCCTGCCCACTGAATAGGAGTTCTCTTTGTATGAATACAATAACAATCATATCCTGATATATCAAGACCTCTGCACCAATGCAGGACAGGTATTTTCTTTGCTGTCGGGCTCGAGGTCAAACTCACATAGTGCCGAACTTCAGAGGTAGCGTCCTGTGGGTTTTCTCCTCGAATCTCTTGGACAGGAGGCTGATGAACTCCGTCTTGAAGATGCACTCCAGCAGGCTGTCGTACTCCTGCTCGTGAAGGATGAGGAAATCGTCCTGCATGGTGCTGAGGGACGCGAGAGGAGTGAGAACAGCGTTAAAGCGGGGAAGCGGCTCAGGGCTCGGTCTTTGCGCAGCCCTCCAGGCTGGTGCTGATCTTCATTGCCTCCTGTAGCACATTGGTCCTGTAGCTGCACAGAACAAATGAGTGTGATAAAGAAAAGGAACAACTTTCCTCGCTCGTTTTTAACCTGGAGACTGAACTATGGCAAGAGATTAAAACAGAGGAAGAGCACAGTTTTCGTCAGGAGGATGGCCATAATTAACCACAATTGTCCACTTGCACATATTGTCTCAGCAGTATCAATAATAACCGGCAGGAGCGAATGAACAACACTGTGCGCACCTCCAGATGACAAGAAAATTCTGAATTGTTTTATTAACCTTTATTGAAACACTACAATTTCCTTTTACACTGGCGAAGAGGAGGATTGAAAATGGAAATGTAGCACAGAATCAGGGATGCAGTTCCAGGAATTCAGGAGTCTGCCATCGCCCAGGGATTCACAGAGCCTCCTGCAGCAATGATTCCAGCCCGGCGCCAGACACAGGCTGAACAACTGATGACTTTCATCCCTTATCAAGGAAGAAAATCTGCCATTTAAATGAGCTTGCCGTAGAGCGAATTTGAATGCCACAGAAGTGTGTGTGCAGCAGTTGCCAGGGTCTAAAATTAAGAGTGAAAACCAAATCAAGTGGCTATGTTGGCGACACCTCCATTTAGAAATGCTCCCATTAGTTAAGGCTCCTTAAACAGCACGTCGAGCCATTGGTTAAGCTGCTTATTACCAGAAATATTCCCCCTGCAGCCCCTCAGCATCACAGATTCCGTGCATTGTTTCCCCATTAAAGGCGAGCTTTTTAATGAGGTTTTTACGATTCCCCATTTCCTGATCTGTGTCACCTGCTATGTATTAATCGCCCCCCTTCCCTGCTCAGAACTGCAGTTCACATGGCCACCCGTGCACACCCGGTTACCTCCCACAATTCCCTGCTAGTCCGGCTTAGCCTCAGGGAGCTCCTTCTGCCCTGCTCCCATTAACCAGCCACAATCGGGCGCTCCTTTAATTGCACATGGTGCAAAGTAACCACAGGACTAATAACCTAATAATGTTTATAATCCTTGTAAAACCGCAGCCCCTTGCTATCAAGATCAATGCTTACTGAGGAGTGGAGTTTCAGCACAGCCGAAGGCACTCGCCCGTTCACACACTTCAATTTGTATATTCCAGGAGGCAAAGCAAAGGGCAAAGATTCCCATCGCAGACATTAATACAAAGCAGAGACTGTAAACTGACATGAGCGTCCTTAAGAATCTTCTCAGAGTCTTTTCACAAGGAATCTTTTCTATCAGAATCTATATTCAAGAACATGCTGCTGTGACAAATGAGCTCTCGAGCCTTCTTAAACGCACTCAGGCCCAGCCCAGAACAGGACAACAAAGCTGCAGAGCTTGAGGCAATTATGTCTGTACAGCAACATCGCTTGGTTAAAATATTTCACCGTTTCCTTTTTCTCAAATCAAACTTTGCTGAGATGTCTGCAGCTTTGCAGGTGTTGCGAAGCGGGAAAGAGCACAGATCAGGGATTTCAGCCTACTTCCTTTGAAGTCGGCCTGCGCACTTCTGCAGTGCTCAGCTGGTATCTCCCCTGTTCTCTGCCAGAGGATATTCGTCATCCCAGCAATAACAGCACTGGGGAGACTGAAGTGCTCTAGAGGGTGGTGGTAGAGCAGGGGGAGACGGTGAGACAGAGCTCCGGCTTTGAATCAGAACAGCTGAAGGAGCTGAACCTTTCTGGTCTTGAACTGCAGACAAACAGGAGACCTGGCAAGAATCCTCAAAGGCTCTGAGAAATTCAGCCCAGATGATGTTTTCAGAATCAACAGTGAAACACACACCAGAGGAGACAAGTGGAAACTCCACAGAAGTGCAATTAAAACTGAGAACAGGAGGGACAAGCTATCCAGCCATGTCGCTGAAGCCAGTACCCTGGTTACTTTCAAGAAACTGTGACAGTTTATGAGATCCCTGGAACAATTAGCTATGGGCCACACTGACTGGATGTGCTGGGTGGCCTCCTTTCGTTTGTAATGTTCCTGTGTTCTCCTGCCCCTGCCTTTCGCAATGCTGGGCCCTTGTTTCAATTTTGAACTCGGCAGCAAATTTCCAATTACCAGGTGCCGTCTTTGTTCCTCAGATTGGAAAAGTAAAAGGGTCTGGGTGAGGGCTTTGTTCCACATACCCCTGTCATGACACGCTTGTTTACACTGGGTGGAAAAACTGCTCTCCAAAGGACTGAGGAGTGCTAATAATAAAACTTCTAAAGTGCTTTTCTGGAAGCACCGCTCAAAGGGCTTTACAGGTAATGGGGACTCCCCTCCACCACCACGAATTTGTAGCCCCACCCGGATGGTGTGACAGAAGTTCGCTCACCACACACCAGCTATCAGTGGGGAGGAGAACAGAGTGATGAAGCCAGTTCAGAGATGGGCATTACTAGGAGGCCATGACTGGTAAAGGCCAGGGGGAAATTTGGCCAGGACACCGGGGTAACATGAGAAATGCCCTGGGATGCCAGGACCTCGGTTTCATGTCTCATCCGAAGGACAGATGGATTGAGGCCACGAAGAGAAGATCAGTCGAAAGCTCTTGAAGTGCGTCTCAGAGGCTCATCTGTGATCACCTCCTCGGCATCTGAGCGTAGGACTCATAGCGGAGTGTCCTCGACACCACCACCCCAGGGTCTGCCGCGGCCTTGGGAGCTGATTGGCGAATGAGACTCCACGTGCAGACACGCCCCCCCACCCCCCTCCACCCCCACACGGTGGGCGTACCTGAGAGAGATGGCCAGGATCTTCTCCACCTCGACCCGGCGCTTCAGCACCTCGGTCACCTGCCCCTTGTCCGGGCCCTGCTTGACCTTCTCGCGGCCGATCAGGTACACGCACCTCGGGGTGAGGACGAGGTCCCTCTTCACGCCCTGCAACCACACAAGGGAGCTGTTCTCTGTGCGGCCCAGCCCTCCCGAACGCCTGGGGGCTGTGGTCACGCACGCCAAAGGGCTGCGTAACCTCGGCAGGCATGAGGACAGCACAGCAAAATCACCTTCGGAAGCCGCTCTGAAACAGAAGAGCGGCTTCCGACGCAAGCAAGTCATTGTCACAGAGTCGGGCCTCTCTCGTGATGTACCGAGAGGCAATGTCAGTGCAAGAAAGGAGTACTGGAACAAGAGCACTTATGTCTTTCATGCCTCTCAGTTTCAGCGTGACATTTTTGAATGATTACAATATGAATTTCAAAATTAGGGTTCTTCACAAGGAAAAATGTCAGGGTAGTCCAGCATAATGGCCAACAAATCTGTTTTTTTCTGTATGTCTGTGGTGAATGTCTGTGGTGAAGGAGAGCCATAAAATTAATTCCTTTCCAATAGCCCACAGTGACCACAGACCCAATTTTAAGCACTGGTTCTGAAAACATTGAAGCAGCACTCGTCCGCATTTTTAGACTTGGTTTTGAGGGGGAAATCCAATCGATGCAAGGCCACTTGCATTCTGACACAATCAGAATTTTCATAGAAAGAAACGAAAATCTGTGCCTCGGACTCTCGTTTGTTGAGGTGCCACTTTCAACCGAGCTTCCTCTTTCCAAACCTCATCAGGTTTTAGCGTTTCCTGTCTGACATCTCAGCCGTTTGTAACCACAGGAAGCGAAATAACTCCTAAAGAGTCGAATTAGTGTGCCTTACTGAAAGAGATACCCACTTATTTCTCTTCACATATCTCATAATTTAATTCATATGCTTGTACTGTATATGGATTTCCCCGCTCAGTAAAGAAAGACAGAATGGCAACTCTATTTGAATGTTGCTGCATAATGGCTTCATTATCCCTTCATAGCTGCTACACAAGACACTATAATCAAATGCATAATACTTTATAGGGACATGCCCACACAACATACTGTAACTTGTACAATAAGAGGTCATGCAGTTTCCTTTAGCATTACATCATACAAAGTGCTATCAACAATGCTAAAACAACAACCAGGTCCCTTTATGCATGTTATGTCGTTCAATTATGTTATCAATTAATGTTCAATTATGCATGTTATGTTATTCAATTAAAGCGTAACTGACAAACCTAACCGCTAAGGACGTGGCGTTGAGCGCTGTCCAACAGAACCAGTGTGAATAGCAGGAGCTAGGAGCCCCTCAAGGACCATATTGTATCTGGCCATTTATGGGTGCCATCCACGCACGGAGAGAAAATGAGCTGCTCGCGGTTACCTTGAACCGCCGGTCGTATTTGGTGACTTTGTCGGCGAAGTCGATCTTCTCTCTCTTGGCCAGAAACTGCCGCAGCTCGGGCCGGTCGTCCATCCCAAGGTAATCCCCGACGAAGTTCCTGTTGATGCTGTGCCTGCGGCGCTCCTTGCGGTTCAGCAGCAGGTCGGAGGCTAAGGACACGAAGGACAGGGCAAGGACAAGCTCAACGGGTGAACAGCAAGTCCTCGGGGCAGGCCTTTCTATCTGGGCTCCAGCTCTTCTTCAGCCGCATCGTGGGGTAAACCAGGGCAGTGGAGTGAAAACTCGCGTGACCAGCTCGGCTGCAGGGCCCAGCTGGGCTCGGGTTCTGTTAAGCCAGTTGCACTTCTACTGTGCTAATAATTACAGTAGTTCAATCAACTGTGTTCCACACCGAAGGTCACCACAAAGCACAGCTCACTTCTCCAGCCCTGCCTGCTTATTTCACCTGCACCTGTTGCCATAACTAATGTGGCTTTGATTTCTCTTCCTTTCTACCAGTGAACTCCCTTTCAAAAGGTTGTGGCATGTAGCAAGGCTTTATTAAAGGGACATTCTAAAGCCAGCTTCTTAACAGGGCCGGTGGACTTTAGCCTCATGCTGAGCAGATTAAACTGGATTTATATGCAGTGGTTAATTATAATCTATGGGAAACTGATTGCTCTGAATGGACTGATTCCAGGCATCTTGGGGTGTGGAGCTTATGAAAGCATCACGTTGATTTCTTTAACCAGTGTAGCTGTTAATTACCTAACATAGTAATCAAATCAATCATATCTTGTATAAGAAAAAGATTCACTTCTCATCACAGGAGAATAAATACAAAATATCTGCTTCTGCATTAGAGGTTGACTGTCTCAAAGCTGTAAAGGGAGGGTAAGAATGGGGAAACGAAGTTCATTTGCTCACAGAAAACAAGTCCCTAGTTTCAGCAGAGGGAAGTTTACAGACCAGTGAAACACTGAAATGCAGAGAAGAATTTGGAAATGCAAATGCAGACAGGCTGAAGTCAGGGCTACTGGGAGAATTTGGCACGCAGTCGAAAGCTGAAATGTCAGGGAGATGCAGGCACTCGCTGTGGCCGTACCTTCCTCTCTCATCTGCACGTATTTCTTTCTGGCCTGGTACTTCCGCCAGGCTTTCTGGATCGCCCGAGCGTAGCCGTCGAACTTCCGTTCCCTCGTCTCTTCAAGCAGGAACAGCTGCGAAGGCGAGAAGACAGATAAAAAAAAACGAAAACCCACTTCCCAGCCCTCCACAGGAGAAGGGCCAAGACAAGACCCCGCAGGAACTTGCCGTCTCTTTCTGCAAGCTCCTTTTGGCCACACAGGACCACCCTCTAGTGCTGTTACTAAGATTACCGGCCGGAGCCTTCAGTGTTCTTACAGCCAGCTGTCAGTCACGTGTTCTGTATGATTATTTAGTGGGTGATGTTGCATAACTGAGGTGCTGTTACTAGACCACTTGCAAACAAGGCCCACTTAGGACCATTTTTACTTTCACCACGTCAGAGTCCTCGTACTGAAGGTAAACAGTAAAAAAGGAGGGTAAATTTGCACAGCCAAATGAAAGCAAACAAGTACCATGATCGATTCTTTACCCTTTACGTATGTGAGCAGTGCATCTCACTGGTTTCGCTTTAGCTAAACACTCAAAAGATTAATACCATTTTATCCACATTCCTAATTACTCCTTCTAGACCTGACTACGTAACTGTAAAAAGCACTTCACTCCAGGAGAGTGTAGTCTTTATAAAAAATAAAAATCTTCCTTAACACTAATTAGTGAAGAAGGAGGAGCTGCGTCAGTAATGCTAAAGGTCATGGTCCTTCAAATAAAATGGCCTCGTTAATGAACAGGCTGCTAAGAGACATCAAAGCAGCATTTTACCTCTTCTGTGAGCCAGGGGTGGCCAGGACAGCACTCCAACCCTCTCTTCTGACCCGTGAATCATTCAGTGCCATTTCCTACTGCCCTGCTATTTCCTGCACCAACTTGCTACGGCCAGCAAAATAACAAACCCGGCTTTCCAAGAGACTAAACATCCTGTCCGATTTCAAGTGCCCATGTGATGGCTGGCAGGGAGTCAAAGAACCGGGGTGCCCTTGTTCTCCTCTGGGCTGTGTGGCCTCCCCGTGCGCCTTCCTCGGGGTCACAGAAGCTGCTGTCCCGGCGCATCATATCACACTAGCCAGGCACGTCCCGGCACAAGCACAAGAGAATGTCCCGTTACGATTAATCACGTGATGGAGGGAAAACAACCCGGCACCCCACCACTGTTGCTGGAGACACGCATGACAAAATGTGACCTGTCACTAAAATTTACACCGCCAAAGGAAAGGGGACCAAGACCAGGAGTTTTAACCATCTTTGTAAAATAAAATATCACCAGTACATAATTACTGGATAATGGGGCCTTGTTAGTAGAATTAGAGCTGGTTTGTTTAATGCCATTATTTCAGTAGCCGATCTCATAAGAATCAGGAGCCTACTTGAGAACAGAAACGGGACTTTTAAAACCTGATGGCTGGGGGGGCTGCAGGGATGTAGGGGCGGTCGTCTCAGGCTTTCGCGAAATGACACGTTGGCACACAACCCCCGGCATTCACATGTTACAAGGGCTGATTCAGGTGTGCGCTGGAAATGTCAATACGTGAGCTCACTAGCCTGCTGAGTCACAAAAACAGCTTTCATACAGCAGCGCACAAAAAAAATAAACTGCAGCCTCTGTGTCTGTCAGAGCCCCACACCCCTCACCACATCATCGCACTTCAGATCAGGACGGGAACCGAAAATCTGCAGGCTCGGGTTTCCACAGGCCAGATCTGACCACCGCGCGGCTCGGATCAAACAAAGGCCGGCCTTATTCGCTTACCTACCGAGTGAACGAAAACACACGCTTCTTTAATCCCGCTACAGCAGTGGTGCAGTGATTAGGCTTGTGGGTCAAACTGCTGCTTTAGTCCACTAAAATACCCAGCTGGACATACAGGCGGAGAAACAAGTAGCTTTGGATAAAAGTGTCAGATGGAATACAGTAGCATTAAGAGCTGTACTTATTGCATTTGCATTTGGGCCTTGACAATTCATAGAATTGAAAGGCGCTACATAAGAAACTGATTGATTTGTGGGTGACCGATGACTCCTGTTGATGCAGGAATCCCATGACTGCTTCCTCCACGCTGTGGCTAGAATGAACCCAGTGTTGTGTCGATGATAAGGTGGCTGGTGACGATGTTACCACCGTGACACACTACACAAGGCTGAGAATGGGACGATAAGGGAGTTGAAGCTCTTGCTCAATCAGGACAGTCCTGCGCTCTTCTTGCCTCCCCTTACCTAAGCTGCGCCCGAATCTACCCGGGTCGGAGCAAAGCAGGAAAGGAAAAGACCCGACGAGCCCCTCATTCTTGCCACAGCCGTGGCCGCAGTGCGTGCTGGCCTGCGGGCTTACCGACTCCGGCGCCTTGATGAAGATCTTCGTGCGGCCCAGCTGGAACTGATCCTGGTCCATGTTGACTGACCGGAGCAGGTGCAGCACTCCCTGTTTCTCGTCGCCGCGCCATGTGGGCCAGGACTCCTTGGTCAGGATGGCGTACCTGAGAGGGAAGGGAGGGTACAGTCAGGGCAGTTTTCAGAGCTGGGCAAAACAATCCACTGGCGCACCAAGCGAAGGCGTCTGCATATGAGTCTGGAGCCATAGCTGAAATACGCCACATGGAGAAAAGACTGTAAGGAAACGGATGTGGAACTCTTAAAACCCATCAGGAAGAATGAATATTGATTTTTGTATTGATTGTTTGTAATTTATTGTATTTTAGCTAAGAATGCCGACATTATCTTCCCGTGAAGGTACTTTCTAAGAAATTAAACTCACAATATTTCTCTGTGCTTGTCTGTCTTTGCTAGTTCAAACGTGAGATCCAAACTACATTCAAAACCAGCCTGGAAAAAGACAGGGCTTTCTCTCAGGAGAGGTGTGGCATATCGTCGGGCTGACAGCGAGCGTCAAGCCCACTCTTCTCTTTTCAAGACTAAAAGGATTCCTTTATTGGAGCCTGGCCTTTAGCACATCTGGGCTGCTGTTGGTCACACTTGTGAGCAGAGCCGACCGAAAGCGGCGCCCGCTGCCTGTGTCTGGATTTTTGTGAATTCCGGGCAGGCTGAGCAAGGGTGGAGCGACCGTCTGCTTTCCTCTCCCGGGCAGAGCCAGGGAGTGACTTCAGCCCCCATGCAGCAGCCATCAGCCTCTCCAATGGCCCTATTCACAGGCTCCAGCAGGCAGGCCGGGAGCCAGCCAACACAAACAACAGCAAAGTGTGCACTTCCTGGTTGCCTCAAACTGCAACTCCTGTGCACGCCCTGTGGGAGTGAGATTAGAGGCTGAACTGAGGAGACCCCGATATGATTTACACCGATTAACATCAAGCCACTCTCTTGTGCACTCTCCCTGTCTCTCTCTCAGGTCTAATGTCGCCAGTGGGCCTAACACTATGCAACTTTTAGCCTTTTATTTTAATGTTCAACCCCTTCTGTTTTTTAACACAAAACCTGTAACAGCCAATAAAAAAAGATGCATAAACAGACTCATAAATACTCCAACTGAGAGCTCTTTTCACCAAGACAACCTCAATTTTGCATGTGTTTTTATCGAGCCTGGCAGTTTCATCAGTTTGTTTGCCACAGCAGTAATGCACAGCCAGCGTGTGCAGGGCTGCCCCTCTCCTACAGGGTTTTTATCAGCCTGCGCAAACGAACCACCTCATTTCAGCTGCGTTTTTTCCACCTTGATTTGCTGAACTCCCTTCAGCCATGGATAAAGAAAGCGTTCGGCTTTCTCGTTGCATTTCCTCTTTTCACAAGCTTCCCAGTGATGCAGTCTCCGGCAGCCAGGAAAGGAACAAAGCGCCAGATGGATCGTTGGCTTACCTGTTCAGAAACTTCCTGAAAACCCGCCGGTATGCGTAGCCCGCCCTGCGGACTCTGATGTTCTCCTTCAGGCCCAGATATTCCACCTGGTGCTTCACTCTAGACATTGACGGAGCAAACAGAACACAGTGAATGAACTGATACCAGGCCTTCGACTTTGCCTGCTTGCTCCATTTCATAGGAAAACCAGCTGTGTGGCGGTTACTGCCTGAAAAGTCCAAAAAGATTTTCAGAGTAAATACCACATGTGCGGGCACTATATTCTTATATAGAAAAATCCCTTCATCTACATCTAGTCAATAGACTCTACTAATGAATTAAAATTGCACTTGCATACCTGAAGCACAGAACTATTTAAAAAAAGTTTATCCTGGGAGTTGAAATCAATACCCGAAGCACTGATTCATGTCCTCAGATGTTCCTCTCTGAAGATTCACCTGTTGTTTTCCGGCTTCCTATGTAAAATCTCTCCACCCACTGTGCATTCCCCTGGCTCTCAGGATCAAAGGCCAAACCTGTCAGTTTCAGTGTGAGAACAGTGTGGCCGAGGTCTCCGTTATTTCTTTCAAATGTGCAATTGAATTTCCAAACTAAACCTGGAGGGCTCCCTGGATTCATTTTTTAAACACATGCTGCCTTTGGGAAGAACGTATTCAAAGAGCTCTTTCTATCGTGAAACCTGACCAGTTTTCTTTTTGGAGCAACAACAGGAAGACTACAACGCCCTGAACAATGAAGTGCATCAAATCAGTACATCGTGTACCTCGCTGCACTTTCTGAGGAAAGAAACACGGGGGGAGAAGGCTACACAGTCTCTGCGCAGTTACAGACTTCCTCCCTTATTTCGGAGATCTTTATTCGATTAGATTCTGATAATGCCATTATGAACGCCTAGCTAAAATTCCACAGACTTTACAGCCGGAGCTCAAACATGAAATGCCAGATTACTGTACGTCACTAAAACTAACAGAAATTCACTGTCTAGGCTTCATAGCAGTGTAGGAAAATATACAAAAAGTGAAAAAAATATTAAATACAATTGTTTAGTTTCCAGTGAGAGGAGGCACGGCAAGCGCTGTCATTAGCACTGCTGCTTCACCACAATGGGGCCCTGGGTTCAATTCCTGGGGTGCTGTCTGCATGGAGTTTGCATGTTCTCCCTGTGTTCGTGTGGGTTTCCTGCCACAGTCTAAAGACATACTGGTAGGTTAATTTGCTTCTGGGGAATTGGCCCTGGTGTGAGTGTGTTTGTATCTGTATGTGCCCTGTGATAGACTGGCATCCCATCCAGGGCGTATCCTGCCTTACGCCTGTTGTCTGCATCCATGAATTAGAGAAAGCAGTTAGAAAATGGAAGCATGGATAGTTTCTAATAGAGCACAGACCTGTAAATTGTACAGACTAATGCATTGCACATACAAGCAGAGCTACTGATTTGTGGATAAATGTTTCTATT